CGTACCCGACCAGACTGACGTCAACCAACGAATGGACAACGCAGCGTGTGTTTCGGATCGATACCGAGTAGACGACGATTGCTGGCCAACCTTATTCGCGGGATATCCACGTCCCGGGCCTAAGTGTGGAGGTGGTACTCGGCATTCGGTGTACTGCTGACCTCGCTCTAGTCAGAGTACACACCGTGGTACGAAACCTCCACAACGACGATGTCTCCCCGCCCTTTCCGGTCAAAAACATCAACCACGAAATCAAAATTTTCAAAATTACACGAAAAACAAACACGAAATTTGCAGAATTTCTGGAACGCGAAATACCGCTGTTTGACAACGATTAGAGGTAGTCGGCGTTGACTGAGCAGACGCAGTGGCTCAGGGCAATTGCAACCCCTGTCAAACAGAGGTATCCCAGAAATCCTGTAACGCAATTTATCGCAAATGACGCTTTCCCGAGGCAACCCGTGGCTAACGAGGGCCAAACGGGCCTGGCCACGGTGAGTCACCTCACATCGGAGGTGGCCGACGTGCCTCGTGAACGTTCCAACGTACTAATTCGCCGAGACCGGAAAAGACGACGCATCGAGGCTAACCGCGACGAACGACGGCCAATCGGGCCTTGTCGTGTTGAGTCACCTCACATCGGAGGTGACCGACGTGCCTCGTGGACGACGCCCGACACGACGTAGATTCTTCAAAACCGAAGAGCCGATCGAACAACGCAACGAACTCCGACGCACGCCCCGACGGAGCTGGTGATATCCCTCCCGTTGGTTGATACGATACGATACGAACGATTACGACTAAACAACGACTTCTACACGCACCTCTTCTTCGAGACCATTCCGACCTCGTCCGAACCCCTACGTTTAAGTTTTTTTTTCTTTTTTTTGTGAAGTTGGTAAGGGGTGTAAGGTACCAAATTTTAAGGGGGGTAAAAACATACTACGAATAAATGAACACCAGAACTTACCCGATTTTTAACCACAATAGCCTACTCCGAGGCCTATGTGTTGGCCATAGCTTGGGCTATGGGCCAAAGAACGTAGGCCTATTTTTATTCACAGTGAAGTACACAAACACATCCACAACTACATATTTATTCATAATAGCACTTCGTTTCGCATAATAAAGTTAAACCGGCCGATTTTACAGATATTTAACGCCGCCAACGACATAACCCCAAACTGGTGTTTATTTGTTGACAGACGACAGACGAAACTAGACCAGCTCAACAAGTAAATTCGATCAGCTGTTGTCTAGTAGTACTTGAGTTCGCCGCTTGAGCGCGTGAGCCTCGAGCGGGCAGGAAAGAAGAATTTTACTCGAAGTCGAAGACAGGATTATTCGTTCACACGCCGTCTACAAAGTAACATCGTCGTTACAAGACTACGCATTCCCGCCGATCGCCGATATTACGAAGGTTAGCTATTCTAATAGTTAGACCATTTCTACGTTTTACTTTATTTTCGTTTAACGCACGCATTCTCGTTTTACAACTATTCTCGTTTCAGAACTCGGTCTTAAACCTCTAAATTCTAATAACTTCGTTTTCGCCGACCTGCATAAAACCCGCCAGTTCCTGCCTGCCAGTGACTAGCGGAGGATTATCTTACGTTTGGTTTTGAATCAATTGACTACGAAATTACGTTTATTCCGTTCGTTTTAACGATTAATTATTATTTAGAATTCAACGTTTTAATACCCCGAGACTTGTCGTCTAAGTTCTAAACCCCGTCTTTGGCGGGTGAAAGAATCAAGTCTTGGGAGCAGGCTGATTTAAACAATCAGCTACGGTACGTAAACTAATACTAAATTTATTTTAAATCATCTCACGTTAAATTATCCGTCCAATTATATTAATTAGGCCCCGACGACTCTGTAGGAATTGCTTTTACATTATATTCGATTTTATATGATTTACCTAGACCTTTAGTTAAATATTTTAAAGTTCATTACAAGTATTTATATCACATTGGCTTAAGCTTGGATACTCGTCGGCCCTACAGAGTCATTCTAAAAGTTAGGCAAAATTCTCCAAAACACTTTTACGTAGGCTGGGATGATATAGCTCCAACTGGGCGTCTGCAGGATTTCCTGAGCGCTTCTAGAGCTCTGAGCCTTCGATTAAATTTAAATAAATTGATCAGTCAAAGCCGTGACAACTTCGTATCGACCCCTGGATTTTTCTCGGCTCCTTCTGAGCACTCCGGGGAAGAAATTCGAGTGTGGCCGGTTCCAGGGGTAGGCCTAGCCTGACTTGGTGAATACTAGTTTATTCCCCCCCTAGAATTTTGCGTCACACATTGAAGGGTGCTCTTTGTTCGATTAAACTGCTTAAGTGTTTGCCATGACTGTCTGCTAGAATCACCAGTTTTTTCCGAGATTTATCAACTTTATGCCTTGTTTGAGATTTATTATCTATTTTGCAGTTACTATTTACATGCCCGTGAAATGACTTACTATAAGCTATTTCTTTGTTAGGTACATCTTTGTTAGGTTGTTAGGTTCCTGCTTGGGGGTTCGAAAGTGAGAGGACTGGGTTCTTGTTTAGGCTTCAGAGAAGGGCAATCCGAATTGTGTTTTCTATTTCCAAACAACAATCATGCAGAGATTATTCCAGAGCATTTACAATTTTAACTTTCCCATCTATTTACATTCTCGAAACTCTATCTTTCCATAGGAAAAATACTCTCTTTTTCCCTTCTGTGACAAAATTCCAAGTATCCATTGCGCAATACTTTAAATTTACTAATTCCCCGGCATTCCACTTCTTTCTTTCAAAGAAACTTTCATTTCAATTCCGTAAAACTATTTAATAGTCTTCTACCTCAACTGAAGGCCGAACAAGATCTGAAAAAGTTTAGAACACGTCTAAAGTCCATGTTGTTAGAAAGATCATTTTACAGCGTCCAGCGCCCGTGAATACCTACTTTAGTGGTCATTCGCAATGTCATGTGCACATGTTTAGTTTATTTAGATATATAGTTTTATTTTCAGTAAGGAATTTATGTTTATTAGGATGTACTAAATTGATTTTTTCTTGTTTTGACTTGGCTAATGAAAGTTATTGTCAGTTTGGCCCAATAAATGACTTATTGACTTACTATTATTATTGACACTAGCGCTAAACGTCATAACAGGGACCACACATAAAAAACCGGCTAAATTCAAGCCTAATACTAAAAATACCCCCACCGCAGCAAACCTGCAGACTTAGCGAATTTCCATTTGCCTCATTGGATTTACACTAAAATGTCTCCTTAAATATATCACATTTATTCCCTATTTAAATATAATTAGTTTAACGAGTACTTAGGTTTGCTGCAACAGGGAGGGTAAAAAAGTGTTTTTTAATGTAAAATGTTAATAGGTACTGTACAGGGAGCGGCAGAAATATCTGACGGTTTTCAAGCGAGTACAGTCCGGCAGCCGTGTGGAGGGGGGTGGTGGGGAGCGGCTCATTCTCAAGGCCAAGTGACCCCATTTCAGTCGCCATGGAGCAGTGGACCGGTATACATCGCGCGTTTGTTGTTGAGGCGTATTTTAAAAGTGGCGATTCTGTTGTTGATACGCAACGTAAGTTTCGTAGGCATTTTAATGTGGCTCGTGGGAACCTATCCCATCCCGAAACACCATCTAATTGTGGGTGGATACCTTTAGATCCACAGGATCGACTGCAAAACGTAGGCCTACAGGCCGTCCAAGGTCAGTGATGACGCAGGAGAACATGGAGCGAGTGCGACAAGCTGTTCTAACGAGCCCGCATCACCCGGCGCGTAGACAAGCTGCTGCTCTTGGCATGTCTGATCGCTCTATTCGACGAATTTTGCACTCAGACCTTCACTTTCACCCATATAAAATAGCAATCATCCAAAAACTTCAGCCTCACGACCACGCTAATCGTTAAATATTTTCAGAGCAGCCCGGGCGATGCGGGCTCGTTAGCTCAGCTTGTCGCACTCGCCCCACGTTCTCCGGCGTCCTCACTGACCTTGGACGGCCTGTAGGCCTACGTTTTGCAGTCGATCCTGTGGATCTAAAGGTATCCACCCACAATTAGATGGTGTTTCGGGATGGGATAGGTTCCCCACGAGCCACATTAAAATGCCTACGAAACTTACGTTGCGTATCAACAACAGAATCGCCACTTTTAAAATACGCCTCAACGACAAACGCGCGATGTATACCGGTCCACTGCTCCATGGCGACTGAAATGGGGTCACTTGGCCTTGAGAATGAGCCGCTCCCCACCACCCCCCTCCACACGGCTGCCGGACTGTACTCGCTTGAAAACCGTCAGATATTTCTGCCGCTCCCTGTAGTTTAGTAAGAAATTAATGTATTTTCCAAATTTGATAAAAATATGTTCATAAATAAGCAAACTACAACAGTTGACTTATTCTCCATAAGAATAACATGGGAATTTTAAAATTAGAATTTTTTTGAATTTTCTCCGTAACCCTTAGGCGCATAATAACGCTTCAATATACTAAATTATTTGTTTCTTTAAACTCTACATAATGATTTGGAAAGTAATTGTGAAATTTTGTGTTTTTAAGGTCTAAAATGGGAAAAACCTATTTTTACCCCATAAAACCCCCCATAAACCCCCGTTCCCATAGTCCAATCATGCTGGTTCGCGAACTCATTCAAGTTTATCCTGCTTTACACCTTTAAACCAAATTTCATCAAAATCAAACAAAAATTACTCAAGTTATCGCGTTCACGGACACATATATATATATATATATATAAAATATATAACATACATATATAAAAATTTTTACGAATGGTATTTTTGGCCTCTGGGGACATCAAAATGAAAAAGTAAATCGGTCCTGGGTCTAGGTCTTACCATGCCACCTACGGTAATAGCTTACTTCCCTATTAGGGAAATTCGCTAATACACTAGAACATTACTGCAAATACTAAGTTATGGTAGCAGCATGGAGTTACTTTATGGTAAGTTAACATTAGTGTTAGTGACAAGTCAACTTTACCCTCTCCGTTCCAGCCCAGTTGCGTGGTGCTGGGTCTTCTAAATCAAACTTTTGTTTATAGATTTCTATACTTTCTGAAGATTCATTTGTATGACACATTTTTAACATTTTTATTCTGAAAAAAATCACAGAGCATTAAGTTATTATTTTTTATTGACTCCAATCCAACAGTAAAAATACTATAGGATAAAAAATTGGCAGTAAAACTATTGTCAATACAAATATAGGTACTTTATTCACAAATATACATGCATGGCGTTTACATCATATAAGATAGATAACTAATCATACATTATTCATATTTTTTTTTCATTTTGCTTAGTTAAATTGAATATTTTACCAAGAAAAATTCCTTACTGTATAGCCTCAACTGTAAATAGTTAAGCTCCAACTAGGCTCTCCCTTTAATTGTCAGCATTAGAAATTAATAATTTTCAATTATTTACGTTTGAAAATTTAGGTTACTGCTCTTAAAAAAAGGTTCGTAAGCATAAAACAGATTAAATGTAAAATTAAAAAGCATCTCAAAAACATTTTCATGGATTATAGAGGAAAATGTCAAACAAAGTGGGAAAAACTAAATATTAAAGAAAATGAAAAAAAACCCAAGAGGAATGAATAAATAAAGAAAAGCGATGGTAAAAATGATGAATTACAAAACAATATTGCTTTACCAGTGTAAGTGTATTCACATGTTGGCCTGTTAAAACATTCTAACTATCTTGTAAATACTATACAGTTCTATAAATAATAACTTACGAGAGTCCGTCATCCACCATTCTTCCAACATCTGGGATGTTAATAATAGGTTGGAACTCAGGACTGCCCTTGTGCTTTCGAATTGACAGAAGCACTTTTGGACTCATCAGGCCAAATCTGAAATGATATCAGTATAAGTAAGTATGACACGTTTCTAGTCCTGAAAGTAGGTGTTTATTGGACGAGTGTGGTCATTCCCATCAAGTGCGAGATTTCCATACGAGTCCGGTAAACAGATTTTGGACAAGAGACGTACAATATTTTACGTCATACTATTCAAAGCTTAACAATAAAAAATGTGTACACATCCTTATATATTACCACTTCAGGACTAACAATCACTACTCATAACCTCTAAGAGAGGTAATGTTATTGATTATAACCACTCATTGCCAAATATAATCAGCTGGTTGGTGTCCGGTAAAAACTTATTATACAGTACAGTGGTACCTAATTAAACCTATTTGATTAAGCTGGTGGCAACAGCTGTTTTCTAGACTAAATCCTGGGTGGGGAAGTTCGTTAAAACAGTGTAGTGTGGCGTAAAAGTATTAAAAGAGTTCTAAAAGAGTGTTGTTATATATGGTGAAATCAATCATTTTTAGGATAATTTATTTGCAGGATCAGATACGTAAGATATATGAGGGCTGATTTAATCTATTTCATGCCTGGTAGTGGTAGTTAAGGTATTAAAGGTAAGCTGTAAATGACTAAGTACTTCCTTCTTATTTTTCAGGTAGACTTAACGTTTGCTTCATTTGGTGGTTATACCAGAGGAACAAGCTTTAGTAAAAAAAGCATTATTTATAATATTGTTAGTTTCATTATTTTACCACAATAGAGTAAATATACTGAACAACAAATAATTAGTAGACAAAAAACATACAATACATTCCTGAAGATAAATACTCCTTAATTATTGTGTTCAGCTTTAATAATAAATCAATAAGGGAGCTTGTTTAGAATTAGAATATAACATATTGACGTTTCGATTAAACATTTTGATAACACAATTGTCAAATGTTGGTAGCATAGTTATTGTTTGGTAACATAATTATACTAATTTTTAATTTCAACAACTATTTTCGGACATTGATGTCATTTATAAAATGATTGTAAAACCTCACTTCTTGCACAGTAATAATTTAAGTAAACAAATGTAAGCAATTATGTTCATCACTTATAGAAATTCAACATTTTGTAAGAAACAAATATATTACATGATTTAACTTAGTTTTGTTGGTTTTGCTAAATATAATTGCAAAACAAACCACAAGAACAATTATGAAACAAAAAAACCATAACTTAAAACAATTGAAGAAACAATAACAGAATGGATCATCTAATGTCACAATGAAAAAAACACTAACCTAACACAGGCCATAATCTCTATAGCGTAAACCTTGCGGTGTTCCCAGTCATGTAACAGCCAACGCACTCCAGACATGAACACTTCTTCCTCGCTGAAAATACCAAAAAAAGAACCTCACAAACCATATGCAAACTAAAAGTATTTACTTTATCTCAACAATTTAAGATGTCAATTGTCAATCTACTATAAAAATTACACCAGTGAGATAAAACTTAAAATAGTTTTAAAGTAATACGAGAACCAATATATTTTTTGGCAAGGCTTGAGTTTAAAAAGATGTCAGATTGAAAAGCTTGTACGGGGACGGCTTTTTAGGTAAGGGCCGGTTTTGGGTTTACATTATACGTCCGTTCTATTTCTCTCGTACACCGCAAAAGGCTCCTCGCCACTTACTGGCATCCTTTGTGAACAGAACTACACAATTGCAGCTCTTCAACTGTCATAGTACGATTTGCTGTGAGTTTTTAAAATGTCTTAAACCACATATCTTTTACCGTGTCGGAGGTATGGTCAAGATAAGTTTTTTGATTACAAGAAAAGAAACATACTGTATATCCGATGCTGACATTCATCAACATAGGCTAGGGAATTTCAAAATGGCTGTGAAAATGTCCATTTCGGATTAATTGTGTTTTTTGTGGGTACCCAGACTTCTCACAGAAGACCACAAAGGAAAAAGAATTCCACAGCCATTTTTACACTCCATAACCCATTTCTGAAAATGGTATGATACCAGATATGGTACTGTATGCTTATCCATTTTAACCCACAAAGTAAACAAATGGAAAAAGAATAAAATAGAGACAAAGTATGAACAAAATACCCCCGTCGCAGCAAACCTGCATACTAAGCGAATTTCCATTTACCCGGCTTGATTTCTACTAAAATATTCCCTATAAATTTTTAGATTTATTTCCTATTTAAATAACATTAATTTTAGTGAGTAGTTAGGTTTGCTGCTACGGGGAAGATGTTGAGGTGTGTTTTTTTTTCAATTGAAATATTGATAGCTTAGTATGAAATAAGCCAAATCGCCAAATTTGATTAAAATATATCCATAAACAAGCAAACTAGAACAGTTTTATTTATTCTCCATAAGAATAACATGGGAATTCTAAATTTACATTTTTTTAAATTTTCTCCGTAGTCAATGAACATTCAAAAAAACTTCAATATACTAAATTATTTGTTTTTTTTAGCTCTTCAAATTGGTCTAGAGAGAAATTTAGAAATTTAAAGTTTTTAGGGTCAAAAATGAGAAAAACCCATTTTTACCCCATAAAACCCCCCATAAACCCCTGATCCCATGGTCCGATTATGCTGGTTCGCGAACTCGTTCGAATAAATGTAGGTTTACACGTTTGTACCAAATTTCATCAAAATCGGATCAATTTTGCTCGAGTTATCGCGCTAACAGACACATATATAAATATATATATATATATATATATGAATTTGAACGGATGGTGTTTTTGGCCTCTGGGGACCTCAAAACGAAAAAGTAAATCGGTCCCGGGTCTAGGTCTTACCATGAGACCTACGGTAATAGCTTATTCCCTATATGGGAAATTCGCTAAAAAAAAAAAATATTTAAATCAAATGAGAAAGAAAATAGATTCAAAACAAAAATAAAATCAAAGTTTTACCAGTGAACGCAGATGTAGTTGGATTGCAGAAACGTGCAGACTTCCTTTGAGTTAAACTCTATGAACTCTTTAGAGCTTACAAGCGTCAAAAAGAACCTTTGCACACGAGGCACCATCAACTCCATCACGGCTTTGTTGTTCATTTTACGAGCCTCCAAGTACAGCAGAAATGCCTTGTCTTCGCAAAATATCTCCATATTGTCTATGAATGACCAACACTGCTCTTCCAACTCTGAAATTGACAAATAATTGGATTATTGTGTTCTATGATCCTGTCTAATGAAACAGCTGATCTTGGTCAGTAAAAGAGCTACACAGATCATCTCACTTCCCACCAGGGTTGCCACCCGTCCCGATTTTGGTCCGGGGGGAGGGGGGCCATGTCCCGATTTTTCGCTAACCCAAGGTGGCAACCCTACTTCCCACACTTCATTCTACACTTTTCCTTCGCTCATATTTTGGTTAAAATATGCACCAATGTGGCGTCTTCATCTCAATTGGTTATATAATAAGAGTATATTTTTTATTGGTACAGTAAAGATAATCTCTCTCAAGTTTAGGAGTTTTTCAATTAATAATTTAAATTTTATATAGGCCTACTACAAGATAAAAACAATGAAGTCACTGAGGTGAGAAGTTAATTTACTTTAACTTTGATCTGTATAACTCAGAGGATGTATAAGAACTGATATTAAATTTATAGTCAGAATAGTCAGAATAGTCATTTATTCAGTCTAAAAAGTAGTACCGTACAGCCAACATGTCAGAAAATTAAAAGCTCAGATCTAATACACAGACGATATAAACATAATTAACGAAGATAACGATACCTATGTTCTTTCTAAGTTAACATAGGCTGTACTTGGCTACCAAGTGCTGGTCTGGATCTTTTTGTAATGCTGACCGCATTCAAGAAATTATAATTTTTAATTTGCTGGCGAACTCTTCAAAATGTAGCACTGAAGTACAAAACAGTGTACACAACACAAAACACATAGAAACATAAACCTGAAGATTGAAGATGGAATCTGTCGTCTGAAGTTACAGTAATGACAAAGAAATTACTAAACAAATCAAACTGACTGCTGCGACAGAATGTAAAAAAAAATACTTCCAGTCAGGAGCCAAACTAATTAGTGCAAAAAAATTGTGTACTCTGTTAAAAGAAGGAAGGGAAACAAAACTTGACCAACAAAAATACAAGATCGAGGTTTTTATAAATAATATCATCTTGGAATGTAGTGTTGTTAAAGAAGTTGATTTACCTTTGATCCCAAGATATTGAGCAGCCTTGAACATTTTCAGTATGTTGTCTCTCCGCAGAAGTTTGTAACTATCGGTGTTTGGATGAAGCATCCACTGGTAAATGAGTGGAAACGTCTCACTGGATACGGACTGTAGAAAAACATCATTTAAAAAACTTAAATAGCCCCGTTCAGCAACCGTACAGACTACGCAAATTTCCGTTTGCCTAATATTTCCTAAAACAGTTCAGATTCAGTCTTCTTTTTAACGCCCACAAAATTATTTAAAAGATTATGCGAATTTTTATGTTTTGAGTGACACAGAAAAGTACGGGGGAAACACTCAATGGTGCACTTAAGTGGTGTCTATCACAAGTAGTGTTGGTGTCTAGGGCAAAGTCGCCAAAGTCCAACACCGCCTCCTCGCTCTCACGTACTACAATGTTGACGATGGAGGAAGGCCCTGTGCGATAGGAGTTTCCACACAATGCTCACCTGCTTGGGCTATACTTCGCTCACCACAAGTATGTTTCCGGTCTAACATACCAGACCCGAAAGCGCACGGTAGTCCCATAAGCCTGTTTCTTCTGTACCTTACTTCTCCTGGGTTTTGAAGGTCAAAAATGGGAAAAAATTGTTCCTATAGTTAAGTTATCGAGCCAACAGACACACACACACACATACACACACATGTATATATACAGGCCTTTATGAATTTGGACAAACAGTGTTTTTGGCTTATGAGGTCATTAATAAAAAAGTTCACCAGTCCTGAATCTAGGTCTTACAATGCCACCTTCGGCAAATAGGGGAAATTCACAAAAAATATTTAGATGTTATGGTATAATTAGATGATTAGTTAAATAATTAGATGATGTGTGTTATAATGATAATCAAAATGTTAAGATGTCATGGTGTGTGTGGGACTTATTTAAATTAAATAAAACATACAGAACCCTTCCCGAATAAAGCAATGTTAGTAATTTCACTTATCAGCAATCACCTCAGAGAGCTCAATTTGAGAGGAAGTTTTGGAGGCAAAGAATGAACTGTAACTTTGTAAAACAATCCTGTGACACTTGAATACTTTGCTTCCTGTCTTCACTTGAATATCAGGGTTTCTGGAATATATGTTTCAGTTTAGTACAATTTGGTAGCAAAAGTAAAAGTAAAGGTTTATTTTCTTATGAAAACATACGACAAAAATTAAATTTTGCTGTCCATCAGTCGATGCTTACAAACTAGCATTCACTTTCATTATGGCTAAACGTTCTAGGAACAATAGACAACAACTTAGCACTTTATCTCTTGTAGCTTCAAGGAGCCAGGCTTTTAGTTTTAATAACATATTAATGCAATCAAAAAGCTGGCAGATCGACCCTGAGAAAAATTATCCTGACTAATGAAACAATTCATCTTAGTCAGTAAAAAAGCTACACAGATCATCTCACTCCATTATACACTCATCACTCATGTTTGGGCTAAAACACGCACATAAGTGGTGTCCATCTCAATTATTGATAATAACATTATTAGATTAGCTTAAATTACTGTATATATTAGTACTAACTATTTAAAAATAAATAATTTTAAAAAAAGATGAGGGAAAACTCATTGTTTTTGAAAATAAAATGTTAAGACAGATTTTGGTTCGGTGAATGATGATGTAGAATTAGGCATAAGGAAGAAATACAAAATTTATACAGAGACTACAATTATGATATTACAGCACATGCGAGAGTTAGACGGCTAAGGTGGACTGGACATGTCTGGAGAAGGGATACAGGAACACTATTGAAGGAAGTAGGAGAAGGGCAGCCAAGCGGGAGAAGTCAACCTGGAAGGCCTAAAAGAAGATGGTGGGACAGCGTGATAACAAACATCGCAAGAGCAGGAGTGGAAGTAGATGAGGCATACGACCGGGAAAGATGGCGAGCAATTGTTGGTAAGGTCAAAACCCGATGGCCATGGGAGTGAGTAAGGAAGAATTTATAAATAATTGTGCAGGGTGTTTATAAAAGAATGGATTTTATCGGTCGGTGCTCAGGGACTATTCAAGATAATTCTATGATTTAAACGTCAAATTGAAGAGAAAATAACTTTTTAAATAAGTTTTTCTCATACTTTGTGTTACAATTCAAAATAATTTATGAAATTCAGATTTTCATCAATCTTATTTGAGCGTAAAACTGGCTAAGTCTGTACGCCTAGGTCAATCGGGAGGTTTATCTGATGTCTTAACTAAATCTTTTTAGGCACAAAGATTCAATCTTTTACAGATAACATCATAAAGTGTTGATTTAGGTATGTTCAACTGAAGACTTCGTCGGGCAATCCATTTTTTGGGGTTTCTGATGCAGAATAGTTGAATTTCTTCGACTATGTCAACGCTTGTTTTTAGCCGGCCGGGTGAATGTCTGTTCAAAACAATACGGTACCACAAAAATCATTAAACCAGCGTCAAATTTCTTTATCATCAAATGGATTTAAATTTAGTTGAAGTAGGCAATCGATATAAACTCTGTGAACCACAGATTACACTCTGTGCCTTCTGCTGCGCCGTAAACATTTCACTGGCAACTGGCGTCAGGCGTGTGAGACACAATTGTGGCCTACCACCCTGCACCTGTTTTGCGCATGCCAAGGTCAGAGTTGCTACACGGGAAAAAATTAGTTATTTTAGCTTCAATTTGACGTATAAAACGTTTAGTTACCTTGAATAGTATCCAAGCAATTACCATTTTAAATCCCGGCTTTCTTTTATGTACACCCTGTATTTACAATATTTTGTGGAATACTCACATCATATTCAAAATATTATGAAATAAAATCTCTTTTAGATCTGATTTCTTTGGCAGTGTGAAGTCATTCCAATCAATACAGTTGTCTATCACATAGCCCATCCTGCAAAATTAAATCCTCTCTAAATAGGACAAACTATATGATTAAATCTGCATAAACTACCTTAATATTTTAATATTACCATTGATTTTGGAAACTTAATAAAGTTAATTATCTGATTTATATAAGGATTAGCTGTAGTCAACTTTTACCTTAGTTTGCTTTACGATAAAAAGTTCACTAGTTGAATTCTAAGAGTACATCAAAAGGAAAAGTCATTATCTTTTTGGTGATTGAAAACTGGCCCCACTTCTTGATTATTGGGCTTTTAATAATTCATTTAGACACTCATCCTTCATATTTAGGTTAAAATACAGTCAATTGAGCACTAACCTTAATTGGTAATAACAATTGATATACCTTACACTAAACCCTATCAGCTAATCAATTAGTTTTCATCTAAAGGATCTGGGGGTCAAGGGGTTGCTCTGGGAAACTCTAGAGCCTTTTGTAGCAAAGATATGATAGATTGCAGCACATTTCTTTCCCTACGATGTCATCAATACCTCAAACTCAAACTCAAACTCAAATATCTTATATATTTTCTTAATTTACTAAATATATTTGACAGTCGTTACAAACTGCATAATAGCGTCAACAAAATTTCTCTTACAAATAAAAACAATATTTCTTATGGATAAAATCTAAAAACTAAAAATCATTGATTTCTTAAAAAGTCTTCTACACTATAACAACAGCGTGAAGAAAGAAAACTCTTAACCCCTTTGCAAAATTTGTCCACACTATTTTCCATTTTCAGGGGAGCGGGCCAAATCACCAAATCAGTTTATAAAAGTTATAAACGGTATTTTATATTTAGCTGCATTAAAACCGATGATGTTTCCAAACACTTACTTAGCTAAGCTGAGTTCGGACACTTGGGGTCCTCGGTCGGAATCACTCGTGTCAAAGTCACTATAAGCCAAACCTCCAGTACCCACGGCTGTATACAGGCAAGTGGTTGTCTGATAAACAAAAATATAATGATTTTTGTAAAATAATTATTAGATTCTAATTGTCCTTCAAAGTGATTAAGAGTACGTATTAAATACAGGAAATCAAACTTATACCTTACTTATTTAAGTGGGTTTAATTGTTGTAACTAATTTGTAATCAAATCATATTCTTTTAAATCAATTTAAATAGTTTCCAAATAGGGAATTGGCATAGATGCCTCTATAGCATTACCTTCTGAAAGCAAGTCTTGATCCAATGTTTTTCCTTTGTCAAGAACATACAGTGGAACCTCGATAAGAAAACCCTCGATAACAAGAGCATCAAGTAACATGTTATTTCAAACCTCGAAAAGAAGTTAATCTTGATAACAAGTCTTATTTTACCTTTCTCATGAAAAACTTCTTATTGAGGTTCTACTGTAGTTCATTTGGAAAAACATGCAACTTGACCTGTCTGAGAGAAAGAATTAAATTTGCGGCATCCACCCCTACACTGGAAGTTTGTAGTTGTACATCAGTGGACTACAATAGACCTTAATCTGTCAGTATAGTGCCATAGTGACAACATGGATATAAAAATTAGTGATGGATCATACTGCAAGAATCCATTAAAAACATAAACTTAAAGGACAAAAATAATTTTTAACTATCTGTCAAAATAGACCAAAATTTCTTCCTTGAATCAGATAATATTGTAAGACTAGACAGGGGTATAGGAAAACCTATTTTTTGTCAACAAAGTAGTCTGGGGTCCAGAAGAATGGAAGTTTTGATAAACTCACTTTCACCAAGAATTAACTTAAAACAAGGAATTACTGTCAACTTTACTTTTACTTTTGGAACTTAACAAATAAAATAAAGGTGTATCAGGTTACCCAATTGTCCACAAATGGTTTCTTGTCCTTTTCCAGTTCTTTGTGATTTGCCATTTCGGACTCAGTAATGTTCAAGCTAACGCTGGCAGGGTCGGCTGCCACGATGCTCAGATCTTTCGATTCATACACAATCTGTGAGGTACAGAAAATGTATAATAAAACGCATTTTTAGGATTTGTTTTTCTCTCAACTGAACCACAAACCACAATGCCCATAACCACATGTATTTTTAGTATTTAAGGTTTGAAATTCTACTACGGCTACAGATTATGAAGGTCATACAATATTGAGGACCGATTTATATTGTGGTACATTCTGTGTCGAGAGATGACTGTTGGCAAAGGATTTAAATCTGGTTTAGCAAAAGTTATGTACTTTTCATTAATAGAAAGAAAAGATTAATCTAACTAAAGGCATACTATTTTTTCAATACATATTTCATAGAAATAAGAAATAATATAAATAGTGTCATTGAAATATATGTAATGAATTATTGAGAATCTCGAGTTACCTGACTAGGCTTCAACTTGAAGTTTCCGCTCGGAGTTGTTTTGAACGGAAACATCTGATGATCCGAGGAGCCCCCTTCTCCTGCAGCTGCCCTAGCCGCTTGTCTGCGTAGAGTACAAATACATGCAATACACACAATAAATGCAATACCGTACTTTCTAGGGGTAGCTGTGTTTTGACTCTTTGAGCTGCTAAGGTTGATAAATCGGACACAAGAGTAAAATAGTTCAACACTAACTGGAGAGAGACGCAAAATTGTTATGGATGTAACATAGAGCACAATGGCCTAGGTTTTTAAGATCAACTCAAACCATACTCAGTTGAAAATTCTCTTAGTGACAGTGAAATATTCTAACTTTTGTGTATAGCAGTGGCGAATCCAGGTTTGGGTTGAGGGGAGGGGGCGAGATTAGAGGTGAAGCACATCATCATTGTATTCCTTGGTCACGACAAAAACCTGAATAACCCCCACAGTATCTAACACAATCAACGTCTTACGTGATCGCAGCGAAATTATAAACATCTCCCGTGGTCGAGTTGAAATAATCGTCATTGTATTACCACTGAGTATCCCCGTGGTAATAGAAACTTCATCATCGTCCTTGACGATCCCGGCAAATTCTGATAATTTCCCACGGCTGAGTGCACATCATCGTCTCTCATGGTCATGGCAAAACCCTGAATAGCCCCTGCAGTAACGGAAACATCATAATCGTCTTCACCGATCGTGGCAAGATGTTGATATTACATGTTGTAAAAAAATGTATGCCCGGGAGGGGGGGGGGCGAAGGGGCGACACCCCCCTCCCCCCTCAGGATCCGCCACTGGTGTATAGTTAAGTGTTTTGTGTTTCTTGTGCCACAATGGACTCTTCACGGAGTCTAAACCACTCATCTATCCAGATATATATGGTTTTAGCTTCCTCTGGGTTTAAAATTAATGAAAATTAAGACTAACCAATAGTATTTTCTTATTATGATACTGATATCCCGTTGTCATTTATAAATATAGATCTTCCCAGGAGGGTGATAATACCTCTGATAGCATTTTACGTATAGTCTGTTGGCAATACTGTAAACAAATAATAAAATACATCTCCAAACAGTTTTTGATATATTTGTATCTACTGTATCCGGCTAACTACTAACTGTTTCTGATTGGGCCTGATTAAATACATATGTAAGGCTTGAAAATGTTTAAGGTATACATGTATTTATATCAAAAAGTGTTAAAAGACAAATTGTATTTTAACCATATAACAGGTATATGTAAACTAACAATATTTTTTTGTCTAAAAAGTGTTACCTACAAATTAACTTTGTCCTCGACACTTCTATGTGTGATATCTCCACCTCCTCTAATACGATGCTCCCACTGTAAAACAACACTTTCAAATTCATAAACATCATTCAAATGTAATAAATACTTGATTATTTAATCAGTTTTTACCATAAAAACATGTATTTTTAACGGTTTAGGGTAACTACATTTAGGGTACTAAACCCCTAAGGTTGTAATCTACCTTACCACCGTGCGCTAATGCAAGGGTTTAGGATCTTCATCATTGTCAGGTTAGTTCTAAACCTATTGAAGATATATTTATGTTAATTTATTAATTTTATATTTTGTAGGCTTGTACGTTTGTAATTTTGTGCTAATTGTAGAAATTAAGTGCGGAGGGACTGGTAAATACCTCAAAATAAGCCTTTTCTAAAGCATTTTACTCGTGAGAATTAATTTTTTTATGGAAATTAAAACCAGAGAGTCATAGATTTGAATTTAAGGATTAAGAAACCTTCTTTAGATTAAATAAATTTTAAAATTTAACTGGGTAGGTAACTCGAGAGGACTTAAAACGTCTGCAAGCGCTTCTTGTGGCGCTGTTCAATGGTGCAACATAGCTAATGAAGCCCAAGCTGAGATTTCCGAGCTGAGGTAGAGCGCACCCTTAAAACTCCCTAAGTTGCATGTTATTCTGATGAAAATTACTTGTACCTATACAATATCATATTATGTTATTAGTAAGAAAAAATGTATAAAATTCAGATTTTAGCTAAATTTTTTTTAAGGAAACAAAATTTTAGTATTTTTAATTATGTTGTGTATTTGGCCACATTGTCTGCATAGCAAATACTTAAAACAAAATGTGAACAGAAAAAAATACTTGCATCCACTTTTGTAGGCCTAAAACTGGGTTTTCCAGTAAGGTTCTTCTTTTTGGTGGGTACACATGGTCGTTTTTTCTTTTCTCCAGTCACTAAATAATGATTATGTAATTAGTTACATGAAAACATAAAACATTAGGTACTGATAATAAATTACAGTGGAACCTTGATAACATATTACACTCTAACAAGTCACCCTTGGTAACAAGTGTGTCATTTTCAAATCCCCTTGAATTTTTTTTCCCTTTAACACGTTCGCTACTGCAATAGTACGAAATTTTTCATTCACATGGACCAGCGACGCACATATGCGACGGCCGGTTTCTATCCATAGACCGTCGTCGCATATATGCAACGGCTAGTCACATTAAAATAGACTGCCGTCGCATATTTGCGTCGGGGTTCTAGTGTTATTAAACTGCTTAAATATCTTTGTAACGGTCTATTTGAGAAACTGAATTCCCTGCAGTGGTCTACAGAGATGTCTGACACACAAATGCGTCGCTTAGTCTGTGGATATGATGATTGGTGACGTCATATGATAGTTGGAAAAACTGGTCTTTACTTTTCTGCACCACTTTATGTATGTATGCAGTATGTATGCTGCATTATCCTTTGTAGATTTTATATTTGTTCAGTTATAAACTGTTCTTGAATAATCTGTTTTTATTTTACTTACTTTCACCTCAAAGCACAAAAAAATTTTGGTCTATTTTCTATTTTTATATATTTCTATATTTATATATTTTCTATATTTCTATTTCTATTTTTAAATTTTTGGTCTAGTTTGGTCTATTTCAAGAAAACTATGATTATTTTTACTATTGTCTTCGCTGTAGACCGGGCGTCGCAAATATGCAACATTACAAAAGGTTATAAAAATACAAAAAAACTAGAATAAATTATTTACTAACACGATTGAAGAGTATTACGAAGTAAATGATCACTGTTTTACAGGTTTTCGCGCGTGGTCTGTGTGTACTGTTAACCAATTGACAGCCGGTCAATGTGTAAGATTCAAATGTATACCTCGGTTCGCATATATGCGACGCTCAGTAGCGAACGTGTTAATCACATGTTATTGCACACCTTTATAAGAAGTCAACCTTGACAACAAATGACAGACTTGTTATCGTGGTTCTACTGTATTATTAAAACTTATTCTATTGGTTAAATATAAGGATAATTTGGTTAATATATCTGGGCATGTTCAAAACCTTAAATGTCACTAGTTTTTTTTTAATTACAGTTCATGCATGATAATGCATTTAGACCAGTGCTACTTATTATTTCCTAGGTATATCCATGGTTCTTTGGGGGAGGGGGGGGAGGAGGAGGTTCAGATCTGTCTTTGAAATTCAAATCAATATTTTTAACAAGATTCTATTTTAGACTTTTTATATGAAAGCTTTAAAAACTTTATGTTTCATGTGTTTGTTTAGCATTTTTATCACAGCACTTAAACATTAAATATATTCAAGAATGACTTAAAACATTGACACCGACTGTTCTTCTTTTTCTCTTCTTTTCTTTTGTGTGTATAAAATAAAGCATATAACTACGGATGAGTGTATTTATTCCGCTTAACTACATAGAATAACAAAGTCATCATTTACGGAGGTTGTCAAAGTGATTTAAAAAATTTTTAAAGATAAATTAAGAAAAAAAAACATTACACAGTTTATAAGTTAATGTTTAACACATTCAGTAATGGATGGTGATAGACCATACATACAGAGGAGTCTAATGGATGGGAAGGAATGTGTTAAAACCAAAAGAAGTAGTTATATACTTACAATTACGTTTTAAACTTTTTGATTCCAGGTATTGTGATAGGCTTGCACGAGGTCTCAAAAGGATGTTTTTACAATATTCCCTGTTAGAAGCTCCAGACAAAGCGCTAAAGCATAAATGAACAGGATTAGTAATTTGCTAATGTTATTTGACAATATACCCCACAAAGCAATAATGTATGTCAATATTTATCAAGAGTGGGGTGTTATATATTGGGTCAATTAGTATGGGGGGGAAGGCTCCCAGCAACACTGATAGTCACAGTCACACCACATGGCGCTAGTAGAATTAAATTTACTCCACTCTTACTCTTACTCCCATGGCCATTTGTACCCCAAGTGGTACTTGGCATCACCAACACACTGCCTCCTCGGTCCTATCTCTTGCGGTTTCTTCATTGACTTCCATCCTGGCCATATCTTTCTTTACTTCATCCGTCCAGCGTTTCTTCAGTCTCCCTTGTGGTCTTCTCCCCAGTGGATCACTTTTCCATATTTTATAATGTGCTAGTTTCCGCTCTTCTAATGATGTGGCCCGTCCAGCGAAGCCTCCTGCTTTTAGTCTCTGCAATTAATTATATCAGGCTTCTTGAACAGGTCTCTTAGTTCCTGATTATGTTAAATTCTCCATACGTCTCCTTCTTTAGTAAGGCCAAAGATGTTGCGCAGGACTTTATTTACAAAAGTAATTAGTTTATTCTCTGTGTCTTTATCCATAACCAAGGTTTCAGCTCCATAAAGAAGGACAGGTCTTAGGATAGTTTTGTAGATTTTAAGTTTAGTGTGATGAGACAACAATCTTGACAATGAACAATGAGATATTAATAATCTTGATGATAATAATTTGTTTAGAGCATACACACTTCTACTGGCTAGGTTTATCCTGTGAGCAGACAATAACACCTAAATTTACTCTAACAGCAATTTATTATCCAGATGATTGTACAAAATAACAAACGCAACATGCATGAGTGCATGCCGCTCCACTCTAATCAACACAATCTATACTTACTGTAGTGATAGATAATCTACCACTTGATTATGTATCGATAGACATACCACAATCCATACCATTATAATATTACGTCATTTAAAAATAATACCTGTAGTCCATGTTTGCTTATTAATCTCTTTGTTATAAATACTCAGCTTGGTTCTTGTTAGCTAGCTTTGACTTTTTTCTCTTCCACGACACCAAGGAGGAACTCAACTGATGATGCTCTGGATGCAGACTTACCACTTTTCAGCTCATTTCGCTGTCAGGGGTCTTTAAAGGTGGGTCTTTTTCTTTTGACTCATACAGCGGCTCTTCTGATTTGATTATGCTGCATATCTTTGTTTTCCACAAACCCTTTTCTTTATAAGCAGCCCTTATTTATGCCTCTGTCCTACCCGCAGGCTGTTTGAGGGGGGAGGGTGGCCATGAAAGGTGTACCAGAGAAACCACAGGATTACAAAAGGAGACGGAGAAGGAGGTGGTCCTCCAGATACTTGTTCCAAAAGCAAACTTACGACCAACCCTACAAGCCCCACACATAACAACACAGCAAGGACACGACTCATTCCAGGGCCGCCCCGAGGGCAGGGCGAGCGGGGCGATCACTCTGGGTGCCGCAGCTAGGGGGCGCCGCGGCTTTGGAAGGTAAAAAATTTAACAACGTTATCGGCAAACCGCAAACAAATATTTTAGCGGAAACTCGCAAACATGTAATCAATGACAATGACTATAAAAAAAGGGCAATCTATAGCTTTTGTTTTATTCATAAAATAAATACCGTTATTTAATATACAACTCGTACTATTACTACTTTTACGTCTGGCATGTGACTTAAAAATTGGCAATACTGCGAGTCCAAGATACTCACTGCGTATTCGCGACGCCCCACATCACACTTGCTTGTTTCTAACCTCAAAGCTCAACAAACTCATGTCAACTCATAGTCGCTTTGTGATGTCCGTTGTCAGTCGTAGCATAGATAAAACATAGTACCGGTATGTTTTATCTATGGTCGTAGATTCAATGTTTTTAATAGCCTAATTTAGTCCAGTTTAGTTGTTACATTTATAAAGAATACTATGCAAAACGTTCGATATCGATATATCGGATGACGGTTGAAGACGCAAACCCCCCAAATACCTTTTTTGGGGAGGGGCGAAAATTTAAATCTCGCCCCGGGCGTCTATTACCCTAGGGGCGGCCCTGACTCATTCCTATCACTTATTTACGTCTCAAAACGTAGAATTAGTAACAAAATTTTGTTTGGTTTGATTGGAAGAGAAAAATGTATTACATAGGTATCTCATCACTATAATATTTTGGATAGCTTTTAGGATTAATTTATAGTAACCTTATTTTTTTACCATGATCCAACATTTTTTAACCCAAACTGGTTGATAGTACACAATAAACAACTTTATCCAATCACTGAAGAAAACTTAAAAAAAATTAATCCAGTTTTAAAAAGTAGGCTGTGCATCATCGGCTTCTATAGGAAAAATTGGCTAAATACAGTTGGAATAATGTGACATATTTTGTGCTTTTTTACGGATTATATTTAGTACCTTTTATCATGAACATCCATGCATGTCAACGAATTTGCCACAGTGCTGTCAGATATTTCAGAAAAGGTCTGTAAAAAACAAAAACAAAACTTTAGAATTAGGAAAACTGGTAATACGTTCCTTAATACGTTAATACGTTCAACTTTTGACCACGAATACAACTAAATATCCAGATTAATGGTGGTTCTCTACCCGAAACAAATTTCAAATCAGCAACTAGCCTATGCCACTTTTTGTATCTGGTTATTTTGTAATAGCTTTAACTTCAATGAAAAGAAATTTTAAAAGTGAAAAAAAAACTACTAATGTGTATTTATTTTTATTGGAGAATTTCAGTGTTATCTTTGAATTGATATATCTAAAGTTAAAGTTATACTGGCTAAATTTTCACATTTAAGGTGTTGTTTTTAGGGGCACATAGCCAACTAAAAGTTAAGGAATAGTTATTAATTTGTCCATTAATAAAAAAGTTGCATGCTAAACCAATTTGTTTAAGACATCCTAAAAAATAATAAAATTTCAAAAAAATTTATATTCATCGATTTTCTTTGATTCATCGATATACCTACTTATGATTCCCAAGTTGCAGAACATAATGAGTTACCCACGTTTTTAGCAATTTTTTGTAAGGTTGTACCATAATATAAAGTTGTCATTGGTAGCTACCAATAACAACTTTATACTATGGTACAACCTTACAAAAAATTGCTAAAAACGTGTGTAACTCATTATGTTCTGCAACTTGGGAATCATAAGATTAAAAATTGCCTTGGTCAAAATGGTTATGCTCTTGTGTCTAATATACCAGACATAAGAAAATGTAGTATAAATGCCAATATAGGCTATATGTGTTCATAACGTGTAGTAAAAAATATCCTTAATATAACTAAAATCCTTTGAGCTCCAGACTTCTGAAAGCGTTAAAAAGGTAATGAGAAGTAGAATTAAAATTATAAATGTAAGATACAAATTACACACTCACATCTAAATCTTTTGGAGTTTTCATTTCTATTGTGCAGTATAAACTAATATTAATTCAAATAACTTTGGGATTGTTTAAATTGATAACTATTAATAAAAAACTAAGTTAATACCATCAAAATAAATACAAAATGAAAGCAATAGTAAAATGCTGGAATAACAATACACTTAACATATGATAATACATTCACTATAGAGTAAAAAGTGGTTTTGAAGGATACTTTATTATGGAATATATTTATATACCTATATATAAGTGTTTCCTTTTCAGGTTTTAAATTTTACAATGCCCTACCTGATAGAAATTGGAATATGTCGTCAAAAAATAAGTTTAGAAAAGTGTTAAAGAATTGGCTTTGACAAAACTGTTCAATAGTTTTGAAAATTTATTAAGGCCATGAAGTTAGGTCAAGTGCATGGAACCTGACAAAACTACTCCGGTTACTCTATGCTGGAACCAATGAATAAGGTATCAGTATTCTTTGATTTATTTTGATATTTTCATGAATCACTGTTTGGACTTGCTGCTGTATTTTGGTTTATTTCGGCATATTTAGTTTTACTTTTTATTATACATTCACAACATAGCATATTGTAACAACTTAATGGCCAGATACTGACTGAGCCACTGACTCATTAAAAAAAAACTTTGGTCACAGATTGGACTTATAGTATACAAAACTGTATTTTGGGCTCAAAAACATACCTACAGCATTGAGGTTAGGATATTTGTGGCTGAGCTGCATTATTGAAGAAATTATGAATAATATTCTTTGCTAACTTTAAAAGTCAGCAAACAAAAATACTCTTCATTTACATAAACTATACAATAAACTAACCTAAATTTTGTTTTGTTCAGTAACATAGATTAACCAATCAACATAAGTAGACTTCTCCATTGTAAATTTTATAGTTAGTTTTTCATGTTTAGCTCATGTTGGTGACACTGATTGCTAGTGTTGATGAGAATTAGTTTCTATTATTTTAGGGTTAATATTTAATGATTTGTGCTTTACTGTTTTGTTTTATTACCAGGGGACGAGTTATTTTTTATGATTAGATTGTTTTATTTGGTTAAACAAGGTTTTAAATTACTGAAATTACAAGAAACAAATTGTAAACAAAACACAACCTCTATATAGTGCACCGGAAGGAACTAACAATAAAATTGTCTTCAGCTAATACATAAGAAGAGATATCTATTAAGGGGGTATGTTTTATCTATAGTTGTAATCTTGGATGAGGAATAGTACTAATAGTAGTGAGCAAAATAATAGTTTAACCATAGACTAACCAACACAAGTAAAGGGAGTGTGTTTTATAACTTTGTCATCAAAGTGAACAAACGTGAAACGTTCAGCTGTTTTGCAAAATAATTTAAGTGGATAAAATGCCACTTCTATTATAGCATCTTGTTTTTCAGGTCAGGAAACAAAGAGAACCTCTTTAGCGAAAGAGGGGGGGGGGGGGGGCGAGACGTCACTCTTCTCTTGAGGGAACACCATTACCTCATCAATATGAGGTTAAGCCATCAGTGTTCGTGGCGTAGTGGTTAGTGTGTACTCATCTGGTGTCCATAATAAATTCAGATCGAATCCCCTGGTGACATTAACTTTTTTCAACGATTTCGCTTAGAATGCGATTACTTCTTAAATGTACATCTTTTGTTAAAATTTGGTGTACCACTCCACTACGCACCTGACGATGGAGTTATCTCTGAAACAGCCGTAGTGAAGTATCACCCCTGATTGCGTAGACGGTAAGCACCATATAGTATATTATTATTATAAAAAGTCTTTGCCTCATAAACTTGATTCTGTTACAAACTTACAGCAGGTAAAATATGTGATATTGACTTTGTCAATAAAAATACAAACAAAGTTAATTTAGGTTCTATAAGGTTATCTAAGGTTATGTAGATTGAGCCATTTTAACACCAAGAAACGAAGATTACTTAAAATTAAACCTGAAAGTACAAATTATATGTCAAATAACACTTGTCCAAATTTTGTATACAATTTGATAGAGCCCATAGGGTTTATAACTCTTAGGAAGAGCCAATAGAATTTACCTTCTCCGCCCTATATTTTCACGTGTTAAACATTAGGTGGCTGCAAGCCAGGCAAATTCCTTTGAACAATTTAATACTGTTCAAACATGGAATTTGCACACACCTCGGATTAAAAACTGTCACGTAAATCCAAACACAACTTCGAATCTGGAAATTTAGCAGGATAGAAACAAAATACAGCAATTGTTTACATAATTGGTTTTAATATTTGAAACACAATAACAATAATTATACAAATGTTAATTACAACGACATTAGTGGGTTATTTATTACAAGTATATACTCGTATGTACAGGATTTACACTGTAAAGCAGCCTGATTGTAAAGGCTCTAGTCCTGTGTTCAGTGTTTATTGAGCAAAACGGCCGAAGGACCGAACTGAACACCCGGACACCTAAGTAATCAGATAAGCAAAAACAGGGACACATATCACATACATTTACAACACATTTACAATTACAATAATTCGTTTTTCAAACAAATACTGCATAGATAGAATAAGTAGATAGAGCACACATATTTTTAAAATACCACAAATAACAGTGTGAAATTATGATTTAACACAAACAATACTGAAGAAATAAGTGATAAACTTAAGTATACATTATTGTCTACTTGGTTTAACTTAGTAGTATAAGTAGAATATAATTTGGTTGACTTTTTTCTAATGAAACATTTTTATAGTATAGGTACACAAAAGTTATGGATAAGTAGTAACATTCACAGACTAAAGTCAATGAAATTAAGTAGTAAATTAAGTAGAATAGTACACCAACAAATACTGAACTTTCTAAATAAAATTACATGAGCAGGATATTTATAAAAAATTTTGCCTTCTCAAAGATTTTTTTTGTCAAAATTCTTAAGAAACAACATAATTGTATTGTAATAAGAGGAAAATTACTTTGACTTTGAACACAATGAGTAGATTAAGTAAGTAACAATTTTAATGACGACAGTTGTTGTAAACTGTGCTTTAAAATATTTGATTATTCAATCCCTAATGACTTGTATGCCTTTGAAATAAAATAACAATACAATACAATACAATAACAAACTTTTCAGTGATTTCAGTGGCCATTGGACATCCTGATAAACAAATATTGGTAGTAATACAATAAATAAGTTTTTCATTAAGGCTTAAATGCACTGAAAACAAAGTTCTAAAACTCTTCAAGAATACTATGACAGTTTACATAGTAAGGCTGAAGTATCATTTTTATTTATAGACTACTATTGATATTATAGTAACATTTAAATATTGGTGTTGTGCAATCCAAATACATTCCTCTTTCCCATTGCATAAACTTTCATATAAACTGTGATAGAATCCTTACCCAACAACATTGCTTTTAACAATAGTATACGTGAGAATTTTTAAACAACAAGTTTCTTAGTGTTATGTATAGAAGACTCATGAGCTTAAGTTGCGGAAAACTCTTCACGTAGAACATTGCTTGATTGCAATTGGTATTCATACGTTTACAAATATTATGCCAAGTTTATGAGTCTTTTTTGTACAATTTATTTGATTAAGTTTCACGTTCTGTTGAATATATTTGTGTTTTACGTCATTCCACATCTTGACCTTGCACAAATTAACTAATCACTTTACAAGAGTCTTAAACATATATTCAGTGAGATTCTTGACGAACATAAAAATTTAACTCTTAAAGCAGTTCTCAAATTGATTCAAATCTGTAAATTGCAATCCAAACAATATTTTTGCAAAGTCAATTTTGACAATAGATAGTTTAACAAGAATTATTTTTTTGCATGATTCTGGTTTGTTCAAACAGTTTTTTCCGTTCAGCCACCATTCCCTTGATTGAGCACAGGGGGGGAGACGGAAAGTTCTGTCCGCAAGTCATCGGATTCCGCTTAGTCTCTGGAACAACATACAAATGTCATGAGTTTATTGACTATTTGAAACGTAGTTTTGTAACCATAACCAACAGTCAAAACACTTATTTTTATTCAAACTATACTTGCGTACGGACATAAAGTAAATTGCATTACATTTCTGAAAATATATAAACCAGCGTTTCCCATATCAGGAGAACATGTTAATAGTAAAATCAGTTCATAGGACAGTTATACAACAAAGAGGTCAGCTTTTGAAGAATATGGCATGAAATGGTTTTTTTATTGGTTGGGTGATCTATGATTTACTAAAAAGCAATTTTACTTTATAGCAAATTTCCCATGTATGGCATAAGCTATTTTATCCTTCTTTTTTTACGATTGGTCACCAGCAGTCTGCAAACAAAATTATTTAACAGTAACTTTGAATACATCCTAAATGGATACTATTGGCTGCTACAAGGGAAAAACCCTGAAACACACAGTTTTTTTCCAATCTTGATTTACCTGCACGAAGAAGAGGCGAGGGATCCTGATTGGTCGGCTCGTTCACAGAGGACTCTGACGAGCACTGCTGATCTGTAGAAAAAAGAGAATTGTTAAACAACCTCAAAGATTTCCATTAAACTGCCAAGTCGTCTGCTGGAATAATAGCGTTCTCAACATTTAAATCCCCACGTAAACTTAATGATAAAATTTACACTTTATTTTCGGTCATATTTGAATATATTTTGCGACATTTATAAGGGTCAGGGAACTTAGAGCAGGCGGAATTGCGTTATCACAGCAAACTTCAAAGACAAATTGTGCCAGTACACATATGTGGATGGCGGTTACGACACTGCGGAAGTCAACAGCCACCGGACGGATCTGATTATAATAATCACGATGGTTCCATACCAAATGATTTAACAGGAAGGTTTGTTAAAATATCTACAAAAACATTTGGAGAACATAAATATGGGATTAATTCAAAAATTATACCTATCATTGCAATTAAAAAAAAACTATTTAAAATAAGGCTGTTAAAAACCCAAAAATTCCCTATATTTCATTGCAGGAGGTTATCACGATATTGAAGCAAACTCGATACATGGTAAATGATTGTGATTTTGCTATGCGACACTAGAATCTGCATTGAATCTAACTTCAAAACAAGAGGAAAGGAATTGTTAAAGTATTATGGAATCAAGAATCAAAATTGGCTAATTTATATTTATAACGTGTAATTTACAGCTTAAATTAAGGTTTTATCATTGAAAGAAATTCATGGTTCACGGTTTTAAGGTTTGAATGAGAACCCTATTATTTCATTGATACACTTACAGCTTGGGTGATTGTTACAAATTTGTCATTAGCTAAAACTATAAGATATTTTCAAACTATTTACATCTAAAGTACTTTTTTAGTAAGTAATACAATGGTTCAAGCTGATTCAAGCAGGGTTAAATACAATTAATTAACTGGTAAAAGAGAGTTGTGTGAATGGTACCTGGGTGAGGTTGGCATTGCCGTCGGTGCAGTAGTGCCAACGCTGCTGCTATGGTGTCAGGCCGGCCACCACGCCAACACTAAACATGCGACTCATGCACTACAGGCCACAAGCTCTGTCTGCCAGCCCTGACAGTCTTACCAACCCCAGTTGTAACTTTTCCCTACTGTTTTACCTTTGAATATTTACACAAGTTTTTCCCCGTGAGTAAATTAGTGTTTGATGAAATGTTAGTTGTTTGTGTATACCAAAGTAGTAGTAAGCGTCTCTGAATTTGTATTGATAGTGACGGCATCAAAAAATATGAATGGTTTGAACCACTTTCACAAAATTGTACAATTAAACTCGGTAGAAAATGTCTATGTCGCTTACAAAAACGAAAATATATTTTTTTTTACATGAGAGTTAAGAATTGGTTGAGTTCTGAGAAGTGCATGAAAGTAAAAGAAGGAGAAATTGAATTGAATATAAAATTCTTGGTTCTAGCAAATTCCAAGTTTTGCAATCTGCAAAGGAAAATCAAGTTGCCGTTATTTCAATTTAAATTTTCGACCACAGTGGCCGTTTGTGTTATCTAAATTTTAGATCTCACAACATATGTAATGCATCAAATTTGCTTATCATAGTAAATGAACTCAACCTCACGCCAACAATTTTCTTTGAGTATATTATTTCTTATTTAAGTTTTTCTATTGTATGTGTGTGGCCTTTAAACATATGTACCTACAAAAGCTTTGTGGCAACAATTGAGTTATTCTATGAAAGTGTGTGTGGGTATTTAAATGAAGACCAAAACCATTAATTGGTTGGGAGAAAGCATTAAAGGAATCTACTCAAATATAAGCCAAAAAGTTGTGTTTACTTTGTAAAGCTGTTTAGAAGTTATTGTAATTATTAAGCACTACAGGACTGGCAGATTAATGAAAAGGTGACTAAAATTAAGCACTCAATAAAAATAATTCAAAAACACAAAATTCCAAGCTGTTTTAAAAGAATCAATCATAATCCAGAGTTTTAAGTGATGGTACAAAACAAACTGTTTATTTTCTGTTTGCATTATCAAAACAGCTGTTAATGTCAACAATGGAAACAGTATGATTGTAAGTTTCTTTTAAGTGGTTATGTTTTGTTTTGTTTTGGCTACTCGGTTAACTGTGACAAACTTGCTTATAGAATGGCTACAACAAAGCAAGAAAAGGCTAATGGTGCGTCAGCAATTGCTTGAACTGAAGCTAATGTGACCGTTGAACAACATTTTTTTTTTTAATAATCCTGCTTGTTAAACAGTCAAACGTATCCATTTTGAGCAAACAAAACGCCTTCTATCGCTTTGTAGTAGCCCTTTTATAAGCAAACCTGTCACAGTTAGCCAAATAGCTCAGACAAAACATCAGACATCAAAACAAACGGTAAACACGTTCTTTCCATTGTTGGCATTACTAGGGGTTTTAACCAAGACACACTAAAAATCCATGGTTTAATTTTGCACCATTTTTAAAAATACCCTGGATAATTAATGGTAATTGTATAAAGCATTACACTGCAATACAGATAGTTATTCATAATTTTAAAAATCAACTCAAGCTTTGGAATAAGTTAGTAAAACAAACGAAAAATAAAATAAAATACAACAACACAAGCAAAAATTAACTATAAATCAAAGCTAAAAAAAACCACAAAAAGTAATATAAATGACTACTAACTCACTAAATACTAATACAATTTTTTACCATGCAATTTTTCAAATATTCTAATCAAAAACTAATCTGTCCAACAATTTGTCAAGAGACAAAAAAAAACAAATATTTGAAAACCAGAAATTAGCAATAAGAGATTACTAAAAAAATTAATTCAAATCAGTAAACAATAGTGTATTCAGCAGATATATTTATTGTACACTTGCACTTGTAAACATAATTAACTTAATGAATATATTTAAAAAATCCAAATTCTACCTAAAAACAAAACCTAACACAGAACGAGCAATAAGATTAAGGATTAGGCTTATATTTGAATAAATATCATGGCGAGGTTAAGTGAAACTTTGGCTAACAACATGCAGAACATGACTTACAGGTGTGAGGGACTTTTCTTTGTCTTCAAACTTCATAAACTCTGCAGAACAGTCACTGGCCTCTGATACTAGGTGAGCTCGCAACTGTTTGTTTCTGAAACGGTAAATAATACATATTTTAATATATAATTAGTATTTGTAGTAATAAAAGAAAAGGTGAAACGAAAGTAGTTTGATATTTTAATCCTCCGTTTCACTTTTACATGAAATGAAAAGGTGAAAATACATATTTTACTGTAAGGTGATCCTCCTAACCTCAATTTAAGATAAGAATCCCAACCTTCCCACTCATCTAGTTTCTAAAAAAAATATTTCCAAACTGTGTTATGTGATTTTGAAAACAAGAATGAAAAACTAAAAGCTTGAAAATACAAACACGAGGCACTACAGTAGACTCTCTATTATTCGGAATCCTCAACACTGCAAGGAAATTGTAACATTACCACACTTGTAAACAGTATGCAAAATAACTCATTTCCAATTTATCCATTCTTAATTCCCGCTCGCTAAATCAGCTGATATCACTTTTAGAGTTTCTATAAAACATTAATATCTGGAGAGCTAATAACATAACCTAAAAAAAGCCTTTTATTCGTATATCTATTAGCCCTCGGACTCTAATTTTCTCAGATAAGCTCGCGTAGCTCTACCCCTATTCAAAATTATTCCAAACCAAACAAAAATGCTCAAAATGCTGCTCTTGGCTTTCTTGTAAAATATAATCTACGAGTGAGGATGTTTATTCTACATTATTATTATTTTATTATTATTTATTATTTTTTTAACTCACCTAGAGTCCAGCTGCATGATGTGTTGCTGAGCCTGAGCAAGTTGTTCATTAGCAGCTCTCAGCTGTTCCTCCAGCCGTGAAGACTCCACACACTTCACAGAGTATTTTTCTGACAGCGACAGAATCTCCTGCTTTATCTCTTCCATCTCTTGCCTGCCAAAACACCATAACTAATGTAAAATTTCTTATATTGTACTCCTTTTACATTGTAAGACATTTGGCAAGTTCCATTGTGCAGTACTTTGGACATCAGAACACATTAAAATTTGTGTATATTCTTTATGTGAAGGTATCCTTCTATGTGAAGGTATCCTTGTATCCTTCTCCATATTAATTTTTACTTCTAAGATCTTAGATAAAAATACAATTGATTTTTATTGCCTTTTTCCAAATTATTACAACAACCATCAATCACTACTTTAATTTAAGGAAACAAATTAAAATTGCTTATTTTTTTTATTCTTAAAACTATACCACTAAACAGTAATTTGTATTTTATTAGTTTCTCTGCTGGATTACTCACTCGTGCTCTCTGTGAAGTGCGCCGATGTCCTGACTAGCTCTCATGTTGTTGAGAAACTCTTGTTTGAACTTGGCCACTTCTCTTTGAACCTGTTAATCAAAGAAACAATTATGATCATCAATTTAACAACAAATGTAAGATACAAAACTTTAAGAAGGGTAAAAAAGTCTTATACAAAATTCAAATGGCGTTCGGTGTTACCTCTGCCTCGTGAGCCTTGCGCATGGCGTCCAGTGCGGCCAGTGTAGCCTGAGTCTCCTCCGCCAGAGCAATCTCCTTCTCTCTCCTCAGCTGCTCTGCCTCCTGCCGATGTTTCTCCTCCAGCTCAGCAATCATCCTGCGATGAGAGTTCTCCATCCCTATCAGCCCCTTCTCACACAGCGCCTGTCGCACACAAAATGTCACAAAAAGTTTTAGAAAGACAAATTTCTCAAACTAGCTTTCTAGTTTCATTTAAGTGGTTCTTCACAGTCTGTGTGGTAATACAATTTCATAACACTGATTATTCAATATGTCCTCTTAATATGGGACTTCTTCCGGGAAAATCTTTAATTTGAATAATCAACACATCAGGGGGTCAACACATCACTACACTCCTACACGTATCCCAAAAACCTTTTTCCTAAACAATATTTCCCAAAAGAAATTCCGATTAACAAAATAAACAGGGCAAGCTATTTCCCATAAACTATTTTTTTAGTTAACCAAAGGTTCAAATTTAAAGGCTATGGTTCAAAGAAATCTACAGCAATAGCTATTTTCACACTTTTTTTCATTATGTTTGATTTAAAAATAATCATCCGTTGTTATCTGAACTTTGTGGGCTGAGGAAGGGTTGGTTTGACATGGGATGAGTTTTATGGTATGCACTTAAAAGGAGGTTTACTGTGCCTACTCACCCTGAGGTGTTCGATCTCCGCCTGGTACCTCTGGCGGATGTTCTCCTCCCCCTGCAGGTCCCGGTCAAGTGTGGAGCTCAGAGTCTTGTGGTAGGCAGCTCTCAAGTTCTCCATCTGTTGGGAATACTCACTATCCAGAGTGCCGAGTCTGCGCTCCAGCTTACGGGCTCGCTCCTTCAGCATGGCCTGCTCTGCCTCGTGTCGTTGCATCTGTCCAACACAACAGAAAATGTTACGGTTAACGTAAAAGTGGGTAGCGAATTTGGGAAGTTGTGGTGTTCACAACCCAGCAACAGCTTATAAACCAGTTTGAAACCAAAGGTAAGAATAACTCCTGGAAATTCTAGGGGGACAAAGAGGGCTGAAAAAATGTACAGTGCTGAAGAATTCAGTACCTATGCTTCACAACGGGAGTTTTATGGCAACTAGTGACACCTTTAAACTGCTCTTAAGCATCATGTTGCAATCATAGTCTTATGCTGAAGATTATAACCTTTAAATATTGTAAAAGTAAATAGAAAAACATAGACGCAAAAAAATCACAAACAATTATCAGTTGATTTTGTGAGATGCAAACGTTAAGTCTGCGACCTACAGCAATTCGTGGCATTTGTTTTCAATTCAAAAGTAATTATACAAGAAAAATGGAATTTGTTTGTAAGTTAGACAAACAATACAATTTACTTACCAAATTAATTCTTTCTTGCTCCAACTCTGCCTTTAGTTGAGCTATTTCTTCTTCTTGATGCATTCTTAGTTCTCGGATGTCCTCTTCAAACTGGATTTCTCGCCTAGAAAATAAAATCAGTAACTTACAATCTAAAAATTTGCTTTGATGACAAGCACTATTACAAAAGATGAAGATAAAAGCCATTATACTTACTAAACAATATAAAATTACTTGTTTAAATTTAAATTTTAAAACTGAGTGCAGGAAAAGCATCCATCTAAGGCACAAATGATGAGTAGGAAATGGAAAAAATGTTAAACATTTTTATGCTGATACTAATACCAGTCACAATAAAGGTCAAGATATTTCGGATTCCTCTTTTTTAATATTACTTCTAGTATTGTGATTAAATACAAACAATTGCAACCGTGAAAATGTCTTAGACTTCCACAAACACTAACCTTTATGACCAATAGCTTTAATGATAAGTCTTATTTGCATGTCATATTCATTAGTTCTAGTGAGGATAAAAATTACCTTCCAAAAAAAAAAACGAAGTATTTACCTTTTAATTTGCTGCTGCAAATATTCACATCTCTGACACTCCTGTCCGCTGAGTACCAGTTGTCGTAGTTGGTAGACCTGATCTCTCAGTTGGCAGCACTGATCACACAGGTTGGTACTCGTGGCAGTAAGAGGCTCCAGGGTGTCCAACTGCAACTTCTCTGTTGTTCCTCTCCTCTTCAGTTCAGCTTCCACCAAACAATCTCTCAGCAACGCCATCTCTCTCGCCAACAATTGCACATGTTCCTTTAACTTTTCCTCGTTCGTACTTTCGTTATTTTGTTCGACTTTGAGTTCTTCTACGTATTTCAAATACAAATTTTGTACCTCAGCTAAGACAGTGTTTTCATCAAACGCGACATCCGAGGGAGCAACAATCTCCAACGGATCTACATCCATTTCTTGCAGCAAAGAAACCCTAGAATCTAATAAAGCTTTGTGAGCAATAATATCGATAAACCTTTGCAAGAGCGACCTCGATTTCTCTTCGTCTTCTTGAGCTGTTTTAACTGGTGATGTGTTCTGTGATTTTAACCTATATACATTTTCCCTGTATTTATCGAATAACCTACTGACAGCGACTTCCAACTCTCTTTGCAAATGCTCTTTGGTAGTTTGCGACCACTGTTCCAAGGTCGTTCTATCTTGAACTAATGGTAAAAACCTACTTTCTTTCTCTTCTTCCACTATGTTTTGGTACGTTCTTGAGCACTGGTTCATGACTTGAGTGATCTCCGTTTGGATAAGCTCTTCGTTAACTGCTTCCTGAGCCAAAGACCAAGCCGCTTTTATCTTGCTCTCCCCTTCACAAGACTGGTCGCCAAGATTTTCAACAGCAAAAGCTGCTGCTAATTGATCGACAACTTGATCAACAAACACACTCACTTTTTGATCAAGATTTTTCTTTTTCTTATTGATTTCTATAACTGCTAAACTCTCACTTGCTTTTTTCTTCTCCTTCTGTTTTCTAGGTTTTGTGTTTTCTATTTTTTGATTCAACAGGTGTCGCGTCAAGGCCTTGGAGAGATAATCCAACGAAGTCTCAATGTTAGGTTTTCCCCCTGACAGCTTCACGTCCAGCTCCATCATGAACCTCTCCACATTCGCAATGTCTCCTTTTACCGATCCCGCCACAGCGTCATGCAGTCTTCCGACAAGAACCGATTCAAAAGCAAGTTTCTCTGCCAAAAGACTAACTTTCGCTTCATTGGTCCATTGCCCAGACACGATTAACGAATCCCGTTTCTTCGATAGACCTTTCAATTTATTCCTCAAAAGAGTCTCCATTTTCTTGATTTCGCTTGAAATATGCAATTGAACGTGTTGTTCTTTTCCATCGACTTCATCACACGGTTCTGTTCCGTTCATTGCTTCATGAGGTAGTTGTGACTTTTGTTCTGTTTCGTCTAACGACGTGATCGATTCACTGCTGGGGAGAGGGGACGGAGATGAAGGACAAATCACAATTTCTCTGGCAGCTTTTGCTACTTTGGACTCCAAGTTTGATAGCCTGATGAGGACTTTCATGGGTTCAGAACACGTGGCACTGTCCAGTGACTTCCTCCTTAGTCTAGCTGCGGCTCTGCTGTTGTCATGACTGGGGGAAGGAGGTGGAAGAGATTTCACTGGAGAAGGACTCTTGGAAGATGATGTTCCCTCTAAAGTCAATGCTGAAACCTTGATTTCCAGTTCTGCTAATTTGTCTTCCAATTCTTTACAAATGGTGAAAGATTCTCTTCCCTTCAATGACAGAGACCTTCTCTTTTCACGAGTCTCAGACTTTGACAATTTTTGCTTCAGGGTACGAATCTAGAAATAAAATAACAAAGTTAAATTTACACAAATAAAATTTACGTGTAGAAGTTCGAATGGTTTGAATAATTTTCAGGTAGATAATGAAACCATTTGTTGTTTAACTTTAATTTGTTAATATTCAAGCATGATTTGCTATTTTTAATTTACAGAAGATAAGGCAGGAAGATAGTTGTACTACTACACTACCTAAAGTCTAACCTTTAGACAAAATTCTACATGACTAATTAGTTAACAGAATTTCCTGACTAATTTTCAAACAATTTTGGTTTATTTTAACACAATACCAACTTACTTTTACACCTATTAAATTTCAGAACATAGCCTACATGAGGAATAAAAACTCAAATATACTAGGAAGCTAGCTTATCAAAATTGACAGATATTTACCAAGTCAAAGACATCTAAAGCTAAAGGTTGAATAGTTCAAGTAACTAATTTTAACTAGGACAGTAACTAAAGATGACCAATAACAACAAGATTGTGTAACAGTTGTATCCCAAAGGAAACTAGTGGAAAGTAACCTCCACGGAAGCTCTAGTACATCTATCTACAGTACCTAGCTTTATTCACTTGTTCCGTCTTAGTGTTTTTGAACACAACAAACCTGCTTCTCAGCGGAGCACAGTTTCATCACCAGATCTTCTATCCTAGCAGCCATGAGGTTGGTTTGAGCGTCAGCCTGGGTCTGTCTAGCTTTGAGGTCTTGTCTTGCGTTGATCAAAGACAACTCCAAAACATCGCTCTGCGCTTGCGACTCTCGCAACTCTCTCTTCATCAGTCGGATTTCCGAGACTGCTTTCTCAAACCTGGCACGAAGGTCTGAATATTCCTCAATCACCCTGGAACAATTAACAGTATTAGCTCAGAGCTGTTAGAGAGGGACATTCAGTTACGATTTATATAGCATTGAAAAATATGTCAAACTTCTGGGATTCCGTTTACACTTAACTGTTTCTCAAGATATTATTTTACTTTTCTTCTTTGATCCTAAAATAAATTTTCAACTTAGAATGCTCTTAAATTCAAATCTGTGACTTCTAAGATGACAAACACCCTGTTATTTCAAGATGAGCTCTCTACCCACCTCTCCTTGTCGAGGTCACATAAGTCTCCGTCCAGCTGTATGTTTGTGAGGTCGCTGAGGCTGTCTACGCTGCGTGACCGAGACGTCGAGTGAGTTGGACCTCCCGGTCGTCCGTCAAGCTCGCGCAGTCGCCGGTACAGTTGGTCGTTCTCTTCTATCCCGGCCGCCAGACGGTTGGTTACCGACCCTAGCTCGTCTCTCAGTTGACGAGTAAGGTCGTCAGTCGACGACAACTCTTCCCTCAACCTCTGTACCAGCTGATAAACAACGAATAGTTAGTTTAAAAGGTTAAATTTCATAAAAACAATATATACTAACTTTTGGTATGAAAAAATCTATTAACAAAACAACACTTTCGTAACATTTTTACCATAAAAGTAAAATGTATTCAGTCCATCCATAAATTGTCTGGTAAAGATTTTACAATATTTCAGACATAACATCAATGAACTTTATTTACTGTACCTTAGCACTGTCCGCTAGTTCCACACACAGCTGGGAGTACCTCTGATTGGCCAACTGTAGCTCACATTGGGCGTCAGTCAGGTCCCTGTCCCAGTGGGCCTTGTCATCCACATAGCTACAAATGAGAAAACAACAAATCATTAGGGAAACAAAGGAATGATATATTATGGTTTAGAAGATATGTTTTTGTCAAAATTTTCAAGTTTGCGTTTTGGTTGCTCGCACACCTCTAATTTACTTGCATAACTCTTAACAACGGATACATTGACCTTTAAAGCGTATGGGTTAAAAGGTGATTAAGCAAATACTGTGATATTAGATAGTTAAATAAAGATTACTCACCGTTTCTTAAGACTGTCGAGTTCTGCAGCGTCTCTCGCTCTTTGTTTGTTGGCGTCCTCCACCCTTTGGATCAAATCTTCAACCTGAAAAATTTCTGCATTAGTGTTTTGTGAAGGGTATACATGTTGCGATATAAGTAGAAATACACCTAATATGGTACTATCGTACAGCTTCTTCAGCAAGCAACAGCCTAAGAGATAGTTCAAGTTATAAAATAACATGCAACACAACGTTCTTGCATTAATTTACATTAAAATAAAATTAAAAAACCCCCCTTTACAAAGCTAAGTCCACGGAGAAGAGCTGTTGGAGTTAAGCTTTGCTTAAACTGGGCTACTAGGAACAGGGAAGTGTTATCATAGGGCAACCATTGGCCAAGTGGAAATACTACAACAGAGATTGAGTTGATTAGAAAATATAAAAAATATGGATGAGGAAAAAATGCTTGAACACAAAAGGAAACTGATGTAAGTAGCCCAATAGAAACTATAAAATTATTAAAAACCCACTACCTAAAATATTAAAATCTGTTATAAAACATCAGAGGACGATCCAGAACTGAAGGGGAAAAACCTAGCACATTCAAACTTGAGGTCTGCAAGCCAGACTTTTATACAGTACTTTGGTTCGGGTTGAGCCAGCTAAATATTATTGTCCTCGGGTCTCAGGCTAAAATCAGTACGCTTCGGAAAGTATTGATTTTTTTAAATATGATTGTACTGCTACAAACAATTTTTAATAACATTTTATAGGAGCTCTCCAATATCGGGATGAACTTGAGAATATCTAGTCACGACAAAAGCAACACCATCTACCAAAGTCATGTCAAAACCTTGAACATCCTCTGCGATCACGGTGAAATCTAGAATGTCATCATCATCTCTACTTAGTACACAGAAAAATTTTTAAATTTTGATCTTTCACTGACGCCCAACCGGAAAATATCAGGGTTAAGCAAACCCCTAATTCAAACAGCAGTTTAACAATATTAATACCTGTTTCTCAAGAGCGGAGACGTCCACTTTGCGCTGACGCAGCCTCAATAGTTCCTCCTCAGCACTGCTCAGCTGCCTCAGCACAGCAGTCAACTGTCGCTTGACCTCCTGCAGCTCACAACTTTGGCTTTGTACCTTGTCTAGCAACAACTTGCCTTCTCCAGCACCAACCTACACAAGTCATTGCAGTCGTTATACTTCCTTCTCTAAAAGTTAGCCTTTGTTTCATCCCCAGACAGAGGTTAATTGGAAAGGTTAACATTCTGTATGAAATTCATTGCTAACAAAATGTAAATTGTAAAAAAACAACAATGATAAGAAGTTACACTCACATTGACACTGACACTGTCGGTGACATCAGCTTCTGACTCCTGCATCTGACCACAACACGCCAGGACAAAGTCCTCCTGAGGCACCGAGTCCAGAGTTGACCTTCGTGAGCTCGGGGGTGATGACCTTGACCTCTTGCTGCTGTACGTCCTCGACCTCAGGCCACCCCTGGAACAAGATTATGACAAAGTTACCGAAAGGGTAAAAGTTTTTTGTTAGGAAAAACCATAGTCACCTAATGTGTGATCATTAATCTTGTTCTTAGAGTAAATCTTTAAAGACAAAGGACTGAATGGGAAAGAGTCCAAACTTGCATAAGAAACACAAAACTGTGTCTTATACACAAACATTAGAATTGTAGAGAGAGTTTTCTTCAGGACTGTAGGTAGGTAAAACGCTTTCTCCTTCAATTACAGTAGATGTTTTCCCATAAGCATCAGACCCTTTTTATTGATGAGTCGAAATTTCTTCAATGGCCTTCCAACTCTTCTCTTTCTATCAATTATTCAATTATTCTCTCAAGCCAGATTTTAACCATTCTTCCGAGACCAAACCACAAAATGACACAATGCTCACCTCGCCCTCTCCTTGACTTTGGATATCGGTGTGCGGTTGAGAGGGGGGGATGGAGGTAGAGTATCGCCCCACTCCCCGCTCTCTCTCCGTCCCTCTGATGCCGTCCGATACTCGTCGTCCGAGGAGAATATGATGGATCTGCCAGTGAGTGGTGTCGGTGGAGCAACCATCTCTCTGTCCCTCTCCAGCCTGTAAAATCATGCCAGATGAAACAAAATGTTGTGAGTGGTTTTAATTTTAAGGACAAAATTGAAAATTGTTTAACCACAATAGCTGATAATTGTGGAAAAGCCGTAGGCCAGGAATTTGAATTGTAGAATAAGGGGATTGCTGTTACCTTACCTTAGAAAACGTACATAAGAGACATAAGGCCATAGAACACACATAAAACGTAGAATATTCCTTCCTCGTGGGGACTTAGTCAAGTGTGTCTCGTATGATCTATGGCCTACCTGCACTTCGTCTAAGGTTCAATAGCTGCTATTCCTTTATTCTAGATTTATACTTAATGCTGGTCCAACATTTGACTACAGTTTATTTACTGGGAGGGAAGAAGAGAAGGAAGTGAATGGTTTTCTGAACCAAATTTACTTGTATTGAATATTTTAATCTTGGTATATTCAGCTAAAACATGATCTTAACTGCATTGTATATACTATTGCTACTGTTTTAGTCTCGTCAAGATTGTCAGAGAGAGATATTTTCCAACATGTCAACCAAATTGAACACAGATGTGTAATATTCAGGTACTGACTGTAAGGGTGTGGGTTCTATCTTGGAGTCGAGTCCCGCAGCTCGTCGTATCGCTTGCATCCAATTGGCTCGTATACCAGCTGTGACAGCGGACAGTACGTAGCTGCGCTCGTCCCATGTCTGTCAAACAACAACCACAATCAAACATATTACATCTGTAGCTGTTAAACCAGACATTGTTGGTTTGAGATTGACCACCTGCAGTATCTTATCACAGTGGTCATCCTGGTTTGCTCTTATGTATTGGAACGGTATTTTATAATGTTTTCAAACTATTATTTATTTTGTTTTTGACTGGGTTGGTGGCGTCGTCCTGTAATGCAGCTACTAGAAGGTCACAAATTGTGGATATTTATAGAGGATACACTGTGGATGTGATACTCCCTGGTGTGGATTAACTTCCGCACTAGTGAGTACTATGACTATCCGCAGTACTATCCTGATAATTAGACCAATTTGTTAATACCAAGGCAAGAATGTGGTTCGGTTTCCACTATAAACTGTAGGTTCCTTAGTTGCCATTAGCTGTTTGGGCTATTAATTAACAGCTGTGACTAAGGAATATGTCGGCCTTAGTCACTAACAAGACTACAATATTGCGCCACTCATCCTACACTCATCCTTCACTCATATTTGGGTTAAAACACGCACATAGTGGAATCCCCATCTTAAATTATTGATAATTGACGTTTAATTAGTTACATTATTGACTGTTGCTAATACATGTACAATGTCAATGGTAAATTAACATTGCTATTCTATTCTTTTTGCTAAGGTATTGAGGTAGTTACCGTCGTCTGGAAGCCGTAGTTGCGAGCCACCTGTACGTCGGTGACTGCGCTGACCCCACTCAGGTCGATGACTCCGTCCAGGATACCTTGATCCTCGGCCGATGGGTCTCTGTAGTACAAAAGCGCAGCGCCTCGAAGCACGAACCAGTGCTTGTTCCACTCCTATGGCACAAAAAATATTGAACTATGAACGAATTGGTTTTTAAAATGGTTAAAACATTGTAATATACCGGACACACTTGTTAGTTATTGTTGGCGATATCGGATTAGGAACCAAGATAGTGATACATGGGGTTTTGCATCCCCAGGCTAAAACTTGCATGCTGGAATTATAACAATTACAAAACTACAAATAATTACTGTAATCCTCTATATAATTAAGCAAGCATGTTTCTTGAAAACAATTTTTCTCATCTTGTGTGCATTGCTGGGAAAATCTACCCGTACTGTTAGAACAATATTTTCCTAAAGATGTGCAGAATCCCTTTATAAATAAAAATAAAAATAAAATAAGCAAAAAAAGTTAATTTAAATTTTTGTTAAAACTATCATGGGCTTTATGAGTTTTCATGCTGGTGACAAATAACAACGTAATATAAACAGAAAATAAAATAAAATGGAAGAAATTCTAATCACATGTTTTATTTACAGCATGGGGTGAAAATAGAAAAGTCTGTACATTACTTATTTTTGGTCGTGTTTTTGACCACTAGACAACCTCTAGTATTGCAAACTCAATGCGTTCCCAACAACGGAAAGAAAACAATTGAAATAAAAAACAATTAAAATTAATCTGTATTTTTCAAAACCTTTTGACATTTTAAATAATTTGACCTTTTTTTCCTATTCTTCGTATGAAGAAAGAAAACTGTCCTTGTGCAGCCTAATGATGGTGTCACACAGACACCGAAACTAGTGCTAACAACAAAATTGGATTGCTTAACAGCAGGTATTTAAACCTTTTCTAGTATTATTTGGCAATCCGGAGGCTAACAACTACAATGAACTTTTGTAATGCATAATCTAATTCATTTAATGGTAAAAGAGCCTCAACTTGCCTGCTATTTCAGAATGCAACACTCCAACCACTACGCTCACGAAGCAAACATAACCTTTTTGAGCAGAATAACCACTTTACCTTATCATTCCCTTGCTTCATCAGCCACCCTTTCTTGATATTGAGCAAATCTTCTGCTGGTAACTCGACCCTGAGCTCTGAACTGGGAGAGTATCTCAGTGACGTCAAGTCCAATCCACAGCCATCCGGATCTCCTCTCACCTAGGACAAATTATAAGATTATTAAGTTATATTTGTAGGGATAAACATACAGCCGGTTAAGAGACTTTTATAGAAAAGGATACAGTTTAGCTTACTTACCTAATGAAATTAGAGTTCTACATTTTATTTATAATGTAAATGGGTACAAAAAGAGTGTAAATTCATGAAAAGTACCAGTAATCATCAATACACTTCCCAAAGAAGTTCTATACACCTTAGTCATGATGTTAGTCATTTTGTAGTGGGACAATTTTGTAATTTACAATTTACTTGAATTGAATTCCTCAGGTTATGAGCTAGCTGAACTCTATCCATATTTGACTCTTTGAGAACATCTTGTGGTTCAATACAGCCTACGGCCTATACAGTCCTTTGGGTTAGTCAGAAATACATTGATTGTAAACTAAATTGATAACCACTTTAGAGAGACCACATTTTCTTCTGACAATGACAAATATACAACCAGGGTAGATGGAAAGGTCAGTATACACTGTGGATGACTAGGTGAAATAAATTTAACACATTCACTGCCAGGTGACACAAGGTCTTTCTCACAGAATGTGATGGCTGATAGGTAACGTGTTAAAAATCAGCGAATATATCCGCCAATCGTAGGATGAAAGTAATTTGTTACTAAAAAGACCCACCTGCTTTGGCGTGGTGGTATCACTGTCCCTGGTAGGCTCATGGCTGGAGGGGGGAGGGGGAGTGACAGCCGGGGATGTCAGTCGTCGATGTCTCGGCCGAGTCAGAGAGTCCGCAATGTCCTTCAGCTTGCACTCGCTCTCAAACTCTTCCAGCAGCAGACGACGGGATACCTCAGGGTGTTCTACAATCAAACAGAGAAGGCAATTGAAACATAAGCATGTGAAAAAAGTCAATGTCCAACATCAAGTGAGGAATCATGGCAACTGACAAAACCATGAGAGATTTACATAGAAGAAGAATAGAAAGAAGATGAAGTATCATGCTTATCTTAACCTTAACATGTACCATAAAACTTTTCTAAACATATATGAAGCTTTCAACAAACTACACATTGATGATCCAGCAAGCCTAAAAATCTTACTTTTTTACATTTACTACTTAGACAGAGTGTTAAAATAAACATATAGGTGTACACAACTAAACAAATAAGACTTTACAAACAAAGAGACATCCAACTGAATGGCTTAATTTCTTTCAGGACCCGTCAAAAGCAATGTGTCAAGTACAAGTCATGGTTTCATCAAACAATGATAGAAAAGAGTGAGTCTTTACACTCAAACTGTTCTAAATCCCATAAGACGTAGATTTTGGGAATCATCCAGTAATCCTATGGTTGAAAACGGCAGATAAGTCGACAGAAACATCACATTTTGTAAATATACAAATTCATTTCTTTTAAGATTTACTTACAGTCATAGTCTTCCTCCATGGCCTCTACACGTGGTTTTTAGTGCAAATTTATTAATTGTCTAAGGAATCTTTGTACTGTACATTACCTGAGGGTGGGGGAGGTTTCTTGTCTCGCCACGTCGGCAACATCTTGGTGAGATCTTCCGAGTAGCTCCGACCACTCTTGAGACCCCGTTTCTCCCTGTTCTGCACCCGACGGGTCCTCCCCTTCTCCTCGGGTCGTACAACTTTGTCCCGAGTCGGGGGAGACCCCATGTACACTGCACACAACACACACAACACTATCACTACCATGCATTGCACACTACTACACAGTACACAAACATGCACAACCATCATTGACTTTACATACTGAAGTAGAAATACCGTCCATGTGGACCTGCTGTATTTACAGCTTTAAATACAGCTGATTTTACTCTGAGATAACATAGTTTAGTTATACTCTTGTAGGGTGAGATGATTTAAGTCGTATTTTATCCCTTTTTTCATATTTTTTTATGTCCCACCTCCTAAGATGCTAGGTTTTAGCCCAAACCCACATCACACATTAATCAAGGCCTAGAGAATTGTGGCATTATCACATAGATAAAATCCATTGGTGATTGGCATGATTTCAACCCAGGACCTCGGAGATAAAAACCCCACATGCAACCTCAAGACCAGCTCGGACTACAAATTTTTAGAGTTGAAAGGGACAGATGCTAAAATTGACAATGAGATAAATGCTACTCAGTATGACAGAAATTGGTATAAAGGAAGAAAACAATATCTTAGTAGTTAGCATCTACTAAATTGTTAAAATCTACTTAGTAGTTAACATCTTAACTTGAATGCTGGTAGTGATTTGTGTTCTTTTTATTCCAAAACTGACAACAACTTTCAGATGGAGATGAAATGTCTATGTCACAATAGTGTATCTATAGTCAATCTATAGTTGGATGCATCTAGGATTAAGACACAAAGGTTCTTAGTTTTTATGTACACTCAAAATAAATTATCTCTTTAAAAATATTGTCACCCTAAACCTTGAAATAAAAAAAAACACACTCTTCCATGGCCTTATACCACTTCAAGAAGAAATGCATCTTTTCTCTAATATCCTCTATAAAGATTCTCACAAAGAAGTATTGAATAAGGTGCCATGAGTAAAGTTGCCAGCAATACCAAAATTAGTAAAAAACAAAAAAAGTAAGAAAAAAGTAGGTAAATCCAAACAGTTGTTTGATAAATTTTAAAGCCAAAATAATGTATAATATAACATTTATAAATTTAAGTAATTTATAAAATTTTTTTACAATGAGTAATTTTTACTTTCACAATTTTTGGCAATAAACTTTTGGATCTAAAATATAAATTAACAAAAATATTTTAACAGAACAACTCTTGAAATGAAAATATTATTTTTGTTACGTTAATGAATTAATAAAACCATGCCAAACTAAAGAATCAAATATAAATCTCGCTTCACTTTAGGATATGACCAAACAAGGTAACTGAAAATACAGGTAAGTATCGAGTGCAGTAGGCCACTTAGCGTCAAACATTATTATAAACCAGTCAAGCATCAGGGCCTTTTGAATAATTAATGTAGCCGAGTGGCAAATTATCATCTTAACCATGTCCAGATAGGTCAACTACCATGTTGGACATTCGTTGATTTCAAAAAACCAAAATCCATCTGTGTTTTCAGTTCGACCTAGAGGGTGTCGTTGTTCCCATGAAAAATCTGCGGCTTTCCCAGTGACTTTTGGCAAGAAGAATCCTCTGTAGTGTGGTAGTTTATGTTTAGTACGAAAGGTTCTTTAATTAAAACGTTTTTATTAGCTTGCTTTCTTGTCCGGTACAAATTTTGTAATCAATGAGTGACATAAATTTTAATAGTGTATTAATGTAATTAATGTTTTTTTTTTGTTTTTTTGTGATTCATTGCTGCTTATTATTTTAGCAAGTAAAAATAAATAATCATTTAAACAACTTTTTTTGTCCTTTTACAGTCCAACCTCAGTATAACGAATCTGAAGGGACCGAACTGAATATTCGTTATATCAAGGATTTCGGTAAAACGAGGTTCGTTATATAGAGGTTATGTTTGTAGGAATTTCGCTAAGTCGAGGTTCAGAACCAGCGTCGGTCAATATAGGTCGGGATTAGACAAAACACAATTAAAGTAGCATATGCTACAACTTTACACTACAGTGTTTACATTGTACAGTAGAACCTAAATTATCTGGCATAAAAAAAAGGGGAGGGATCTTGAATATTGCGCAATCATGATAATGGCATTGACCTTGGTACAGGTTAAAAACTGTAAGTTTAAAATCACAGCTTGTTCTAACCCTCCTAAAACCTAGCCAAACACTGTATTGCGTAGTCATAAACAAAATTTATGACAGATTTAAAGAACAAAAGAAAACAGTAGTAGAAAGTTTTGTAAGCTACTGCTCGTGATAGGCCGGTAGGCTACTTACAGTACAGTACTGATTTATCACAACAGAGGAATGTCAATAATAATCATTAAATATAGCATTGGTGTTGCTAGTTGAAACAAATCATATTGAAAACAATAAATTATTAGATAAGTCATTATAAAAGTGTATAATCATAGCCAACTTAAAGATAATAAAAATACTCGAAAAATGAATGTTAAAATAACGATGTTGCTATTCTTTCTCTTTGGTTTTGTTTTTATATTCTTTCTTAGGTTTCTCTTTATCCAAAAATTTTACAATTCACCATAGTTACTTATCGCCCAATCACAGCTTACTAAACATTACGTCGTCATCAGTCCTCAGGGAATGAAATCAGTTCTCAGTTGCAACATAGCACGCGCAGCGACAGCAGACAGAGAGATGTGTAAAACCAAAACGGAGCAGACGAATGTTAGCGCAAGCTATAACGTCACCTTTCATTTCATTTGATAAAGAAACAGATTTTTCAAAAACAATAATGGGGTGGGGGATTTGTTATATCGAGGGAAAGACGTAGACAATTCGTTATGCAGAGGTTAAATTCGCAATGTAGAGGTTCTGACAATGATAAATTCGCTATATTGAGGTGTCTTATTTTAGCCGTAATCACGAAAAATTCGTTAAATCAAGGTTGTTGTTATGGTTTGTTCGTTATGTAGAGGTAAAATATACATTATGTGTTATGGAGAGTTCTAGGGGATTAAAAAAAAATTTGTTATATCAAGGAATTCGTTGTTTCGAGGTTCGTTATATCAAGGTTAGACTGTACTTCTATGGATGTCTTAACGTAAAACTAGTTGTTAATTTCTATTAAATTTGTTTTAGACCGTTCCCCACCAAAAAAACGTTAAAAATGGCAACTGCATGATATGAGAATAAAAAACTTTTAATGTACTTTGAAACCCTAATAAAAGTAGGTCCTTTAGTAACAACACCAGGTTACATAGTTAGTTTAATAAGGTAAATATTAATAATAAGGTTTAAATTAGTTTAATAAACTAGCAAAATAGCAACATCCACATTCAGAAGAGTTTTAGGGTTTTTTTCACCCACCTTTTCTAGTGTCCACAGACGGTTGTACGGGGGTTTCTATGGGGGTTGAAGGGGTCGGAGGTAGATCTCTAGTGGGAAACACATCCTCTTCTTCCCATAAAGATCCTTGCACTCGCCTTCCACCATAGTCGCTTGACACTGAGCTGGACACATCTGGAAAAGCAGGTAACAATAAAACAAATTGAAAGACGTACCATTCAAAATCATTTGTCGAAAACATTTAGTCCAAATACATTTATATCAGTTGTTTGATGTAAACTACTTTAAAATATTGAATACTTAAACAAGCGTCTGTTTACAGGGTGGTGCTATTTCCCTAGTGAAGTAAATATAAATCCTAGTAACTACTAGATTTTAATTAACACACCCTTTAAAGCGTGAGTGAAACTTTTTGGATTTAAGGAGGTATAGCTTGTTGTCACATAAGGATTTATTTTAGTTTGGTGTATAATATCACTACTGAATTTCAATACACTTAAAACATATGTAAGGGTTAAGAGGAACTTTAATTTTCAATATTGTTTTAGTGGTGTTTATCAATCCAATGCTACAAAAACCTTTTGCTCCCATATTCATTGTTGATGCGAATCCTGATATTCCTTCAAATTATATGTATAGCACAATAAATAAAATAAATATTTTTTTCTTTGTCAAATAAATCATTAGTAAAAAAGTTGTAATTTTCCGAACCCTGCTCAGAAATGCAAACTATTAGAAGTGCCAGACTGCACTTTACAATAATGAATGTCACACTATTACATTTTTTTAAATTTGGATTCATAAAAATGTTTAAAACCATAAAAGACGAATCTTTAATAATAAAAGGCAAGTTCACACAACTCGTTTGACGTCAACCACTTGAGTTTATGTCTACACTGACCCCACTTGCGGCTGGCGAGCGGCCAGAATACAGAAGTAGGCCTATCATAAGGGACAGATGGTGACCTAGATGCACTTGGATACCAACTGATAATTAGCATGTGTTAGCACTCCAATTAATACAACTACTTTTGGGTGGCCTATATGATATATCACACAGTTTTGTAACTTTTAATGAAAGTGATTAAAACAGTAGGTAGGTGGTGAATTCAAACACAAAACTTAAACGCAAAACTTTAAAAATTTATTTTTTTAATTCCAGAAAAACTCTTAGACACTCTTACCTATTCCACAAAAGTTCCAGTTATGTGAAATTTAAATTACAGTGTTTAAAACGGTAAGCAGGTGGTGAATTAAAATTATTATTGCAAAACTTTCAATATTTGTTTTTAAATTCCTGAAGTCTTGGAAACCCATTCTATACTATTATTGAGTGCAATGAGCTTCCATATGGGTGACTTTAACTGCGATTCAAACAATCTATCCAAACCATTACAAAATTAGGTGTTTATCTGTCAATCTATTAAACAAAAACCACAGACCATAGCTGATAGTGCTGATACTTGGCTCATAGATAATCTATATTCCCAGAATTACCAGGGGACGATTTCCCCTTTGATATTTTCCCTGAAAAATACAAAAATATATACGTCTAATAACACTTGCAATAATATTTACACTTATACTGTTGACTTACAAGACGGTAATATGTATTTACCATCTTGTAAGTCAACAGTATAAGTGTAAATATATTATTGCAAGTGTTATTAGACGTATATATTTTTGTATTTTTCAGGTAATTTAATAACACGTACGATGCTGATCAAGAAGTTATTTGATATTTTGTCAAAATTCGTCATTTGTCAAACCAATGCTTTACCCCTTGTGGCTTTAAAATAAAGGGTTGAGGTTTTGGGAAAAAATAATGATCGTTGTCTATGGTAATAGTAAGAAAATTACAACATTTACATTTGTGTTGTTTCTGTGTTTAAATTTCCATAAAGTTATTAATTATATTCCACCAATGTTTTGTTTTCTGTTTTGTTATTGACCTGTATTTTGTTAACTATAAAAAATTGTAATGAGTTATTTGTCTGTTAATACTTTACTGCACTCAAAAAAGTATTCCGCCCTTGAATACGGCTCAAGCATAAATGTTTTGCTTGAATGTAGCAAATTACTACTTTGCGTACGAGTTACACTAAATATAATCTACAATAGCTTCAAGGAAATAATTTTAAATTGTTTGTCAAACTCCCGTTTGCAAAGCACAGGTAAAGCTGCTAGTTTAAAATAAACACATGACATGCTAAACCTCTCTTTGCCATGGTCAACATTTGGCCAAACTCACCTCTGACTGGAGGCGTTTGTAGGATTGCCGGAGTTGAACTTGACGTCTGGCTTCCAGGAAATGTTGCGTTTCTCTTTGGTCTTCCCTGGAAAATAATACCAATTTTACAATTCAATTTGAATAACAAGGCATCAATATTTTTGCTGAATGCTCTCAACAGTGCAAAACGATCACTTGATTACGTAACTTCATGTTATACAATGTACAGTTCATTGTACAGGTGGTATTGGTTTATAATTTTGCCAGAGCGTTGATGTTAAATTTTATACTTAATAATTCAATAGTAGTTTTCATCACTACGGAGCGAAAGTAGCTCTTTTTGGTAATACGATTAAGTACCGGTACCAAAAAGACTCTTTTGCTCTGTGTGATGAACAACTATTTTCATCATACTGTGGAAATAAACTTGTAATCGTTACAAAATTAGACCAAATGATTTGAGATTATACAAAGTCGTCATAAATGTTTACATTTTTGTTTTTTACAATCATAACCTTAAATATTGTGTACTTAGCAGCGTTTTCATGATGAAAGATAACATTTTTAGGTTGACGAACCAAAACATTTACCGTATGTTTTTTATATTCCCTATTTGTAGTTACCCAAAAACGATGATTTTGAGGACTATTTAGAAAACTAAAACTGCTGCTTTCCCGACAGTATGCTGAAAAAATATTTACTGAAAACAACAAAACACAAAAAATGTTTACTGCAAGCCGCCATGCTAGTTTAGTTTGGTTGTAATTACACCATTACACCATATATAAAGTATAGTTATGAATGTAATCCGAATAAAGTTAATTTCAATGCAATGCAAATAAAAATATACGATTCACTTGTAACTTTTTTACTTTTGAACTGTTAATTTTCATTTCTATATTACTGCTTGTTCCTAGATAGACAGTTAATAATCAACACAGGTAGGAATGCAGTTTCGGGCCCGAGGCCGTCACATATCATAGGCAGCCTCTTCAATCACAACGATTAACCATTAGCACAGCTGAATATCAATCCGTTGCAAGTCTCAACTCGTTAGCGGTCCTGAATTTCCTCCGGGTCTTGTAACGACGGTAATTTGTAAGATTCAGACTATTTTCGTAGCTAATGGCCGCTGAAGATTATCTGCTGGCTGCTGTTAACAGATAAGTAAATTCGGGCTACTGATGGCATGCAAATGGATTGTTGACTGGACGCTAATAAAGGACTAGCTGTCCGGAGCGCCGTGTAATCAATGAGAAGTCATCCTGGAAGATTGTTTGTAACTGTCCTATTTCTCTGGTATACTCAAAACATACATTACTCAGAATACTTAACTGTTCACTCGCGATTGTAATTTTCTATGTGGTAAGCATAGTGTTTTTTCTAATTTTTTACTAAATATCAAAATGTAAATTACAGTTTACGGACACACCTGTTGTAGAGATGATTCCAGAAGTCCTTGAAAGAGTATAAATCTTTAAATTCCATTTTGTAGCCCCTGAACTGCTTAGTATAAACTAAATTAAAACATACCTCGTCTTGCAGTTCAAATAAATAGTGTCTTTTTCAATCCACTACATGTTTCGCCATGTTGGCATTTTCAAGTGGTATACACAGAAACATTGAGACTTGAAACATTATAATATCCGAATTGGACTCGTCAAATTGTAGAAATTTACAAATAAACACAAAACTGTACATAAATTTGACACGTACGTACGAAACATTATTATGTAGGCCTACAACACATTGCAACCCGATCACTGCACTGACTGAGACAGAACTGCAAGACGAGGTATGTTTTAATTTAGTTTATAAATCTTTGTCATGTGTAGGCCTAGTAAAGAAATAAACCAGAAATTGTTCACCTAGTTCAAACTAGAGGTGATCCCAGATATTATCAAGTTTGGTGGTAGCAAATTGGGTTTTAATGTAAAATAGTGTTGTTTTTAGGAAGTGCTGTTTGAAGTATAATTTTCAAACACAATTTTGCAACAGATGGGGTATTAACTTAAAACTACGGAGGTAATTGACTATCAAGCAATGGTAAGAAAGTGATTGTTCTTTGACTAAATTAAATTGAAGTAAAACACTTTGGTTTAGTAAGATGGCGCTACATGCCACATAGTAGGTGAAACAATTTGTCTGTTCAGAGAAACATTTCATAACACATTATCTCATATAAAAGGTAATACTATCAGGCCACCGATCATTTGGCACATGGACAAAACTCTTTCCAAGGATATGGCCACAGATTCTGGACTACTTGGAAGTCAGCATCCATCGTGTTATTGTCAGAATACGTCCCCAGCTGTAGGAAAATGTGTTTGAAAATTGCAATCCCAGACTACGGACCTACAAGAATGCCATGGTGATGTCTAAAATAGCGATTAAACACTGTTGGCATAACACTGATTTAAATAAATACATTACCATGGTTATACATGTTATTTTCCATTCTTTTGATTCATTTTAACAATAATTGCACCAGTAAAAAAATAAACACTCTAGATTTATGAAGGTAAAGGTATTTTACCTAGAGCCAGGAGCAAAAGACTGACATCACCTACATCAGTGTGCTGGTAGAAAAAAGAATCAAGCAACAAAGAAGGAATCAACATCAGGGAAAGCAAGCAGCCACGAAGTGGAAACACTCGACTTATAGCAAAGATTGTCCGAAAGAAGCACTATTTATGACAAAGAAAGATGTAAGATGAAGGAATTTCTCCAACAGAAGTGGAACTGAGTGAAGATAAACTTCTTGAGAAGCAAGGAATCAGCGTTGCATTTTGCTAGAATGTGCTAAAGAATATGAAAGGAGAAGCATGAAGTAGAAAATGTAGGCAGACAGGTTGCAGTTTAAAAAGGAAATAAATAGGAAAATGAAATGAAAACAAGTAAGAAGATTGAGACAAATCCAATGATCCTAGTAAACTTACAGTGGGTGAGGAGAGAGGCGTGTTGGGTGGGCAAAGAATGTGCCTGGAAAGACAAAGATTGAAGTTGACAGCAGGTAGAGGGTTCCAAAGTTTTTCAAAAAAGCGGCCTGGTGAATAAGTCACTCGATGAACGAGGGACCGCTGGGCTTCGGCCAAACACCTTCCATCAGTCGTACTCTACCTCCAATACCTTTCTTAGGTAATATAACCTGTGACTGGTCTTACCTTGGACCTGGGGAAGACTGAGAGCACCTCATTCCACCAGCGTGCCTCCTCCCTGCAGGTGCCCTTGACAAAGTGTACGTTGTCAGGTGCCGTGATGGCCAGACTGTAGGCGTTGCCAGTCACATCTTCTGCGTCTGCTACTTCCAGCACCTTGTTCATGTCTATGCTGGCCTGAGGCACAGTCTCCGGCTGCAACATAAAACATAAAACAAATTAAAGAAGGCAGCATCACAAAAGAAAAATAGTAAAATCAAAATTAAGAAATATCACTGAAGGCAGAAAATTGGTCTTGAGGCCTGAAGCAGGACAGTGGGACACATTCCAAAGGTATACGAGGAAGTTGGGCCTTAATTAGGCAGCTGCTGCAGATCGAACCTAAAGGAGAGGCTGTGTTGATAAGCCGAATTACCATCTGGGATACAGGTGGTCACTTTGGTAAGTAATGGTACATCACGCAAAAAGGTTGAAAAGTAGATGTGTTTACAAGCCGACCACGGTATTTCAAAACAATGTTGCTAAAAACTTCATGAGAGAGTAATGTTTGAAATTCGTTTCATCACAATGCCTTAAAAAATATAGAGAAAGTCAAACAAACATATGCCTACATACAATCACAGCACTGGTAAAATGTCCTGAGGGTGACTTTTTTACTAACTCAAAATAATTGTCACAACGGCAGTTAAATCCGAAAAAACAGAGAATCACAATACGATTCTTTATACAGTATCTTCACATAATAAACCAAAGGTAAGGTAGGTGACTAAGGTGATGGAAAGCAAATGGGTTTTATAATGAAACTACAATTAATAAAATCTTATTCACGATGGATGGCTCAATGGACATAAATAAATCTCAGTCGGCCTTGAAATCATAAACAGCTAGTTAGCTATTGTTATCAGCGCTCCTGAAGGTGATTATCATAAACAAGCCAGACCCACTCACGTCCTTGCAGCACTGCGAACTGCACAGTGTAGAGACAACCGACTTGTAACCACTTAACCAGTAATCTCAAACTATTAGAAAAATGTGACTTACGAACGATCACCTCCAAATACTAAAAGAGAATAACAAACTCTTTTAGCAAAAACAACAGTCGTTTGCCGAAAGATTGACTAGGAAAACTTACAGTAAACCACAAACTATTGGCCACAAACCGAACCCAAACTCTAGGCTGAAAATACAGCTGAATTACGACCGTCCAACTACTAAAACTGGCAGTAAACCACAAACTATTGGCCACAAACCGAACCCAAACTCTAGGCTGAAAATACAGCTGAATTACGACCGTCCAACTACTAAAACTGGCAGTAAACCACAAACTATTGGCCACAAACCGAACCCAAACTCTAGGCTGAAAATACAGCTGAATTACGACCGTCCAACTACTAAAACTGGCAGTAAACCACAAACTATTGGCCACAAACCGAACCCAAACTCTAGGCTGAAAATACAGCTGAATTACGACCGTCCAACTACTAAAACTGGCAGTAAACCACAAACCCAAGCTCTAGCCTGAAAAACAGCTGAATAACGACCACCCAGCTCCTAAAACTGACAGTAAACCACAAACCCAAGCTCTAGCCTGAAAAACAGCTGAATAACGACCGCCCAGCTCCTAAAACTGGCAGTAAACCACAAACCCAAACTCTAGCTTGAAAAACAGCTGAATTACGACCGTCCAACTCCTAAAACTGACAGTAAACCACAAACCCAAACTCTAGCCAGAAAAACAGCTAAATTATGACCACTCACCTCCTAAAACTGACACTAAACCACAAACACTTGGCCACAAACCCAAACTGTAGCCTGAAAAACAGCTGAATTACGACCACCCAACTTCTAAAACTGGCAGTAAACCACAAACACTTGGCCACAAACCCAAACTGTAGCCTGAAAAACAGCTGAATTACGACCACCCAACTCCTAAAACTGGCAGTAAACCACACACACTTGGCCACAAACCCAAACTGTAGCCTGAAAAACAGCTGAATACGACCGCCCAACTTCTAAAACTGGCAGTAAACCACACACGCTTGGTCACAAACCCAAACTGTAGCCTGAAAAACAGCTGAATTACGACCGCCCAACTCCTAAAACTGGCAGTAAACCACTAAAACTTGGCCACAAACCTAAACTCTAAACCAAAAAACAGCTGAATTACGACCGCTCATCTCCTAAAACTGGCAGTAAACCACAAACACTTGGCCACAAACCCAAACTCTAAACCGAAAAACAGCTGAATTGCAACCGCCCAACTTCAAAAACTGACAATAAACCACAAACTATCTAGGCCACAAACCCAAACACATGCTAAAAAAACGCAAAAATTCTGACAGACCATCTCAGAAAACTTTAGAACCCCTGAATACAAAAACAAATTATTGACCGAAAAACAACTGAATCCTGACCACCAACCTCCAGATACTATCTAGTAGACGATACCTGGCCACCGTCCAGCTGCCCTACGGCCGCGTCGTTTCGCCATCTTTACAAACGCGCTTCCGCGTTTATAACTAACGCCGCCGTTTACGTGTAATAGTGCGGATTTATCGTCGCAATCTCGCCCGATCAATTCAATCGTTGTGAGTAAAATTGATAAAGGAAACAATAAACAATGGCGCAGTCCGCTGCAAGGTGTCGGGTGGGCCGGTGCACTTGACACTGCGCCAGTAACGTAGCAGGTCAGACAGATGTCACGTCGACCCTGCGGAGAGTCCAGATAACATCTCCAGATCAGTCGCTAATTGCGCTGCCATCTGGTGCCACTTGACCGCTACCAGGAGTGTGCCGGATCCGAAACGCCGAAACTGATCCGCCGTTGCAAAAGAGTACATGCGACGAGGTCAATAAAACACGCGTCTGTTCGATGACAATATGAGAAAACAGCAAGAGATGTACTGTCGTATCGTACTGTCTGGTGAGTTTCTTTATCTTAAGTTCACAAATTGCTATATAATAACCACAGACAAGGGAATGCGATCTCCCAGTGAATAGCAAGGTTTTCAAATTCAACAGTACATTAAATTAGAAGAGCCTACCGGCACCGCCCCTCTTGGCCATTCGTGAATTGTTTTTTTATCAGCAATGCCCAGTAGAGGGATTTATCTTTACTTTCCGTGTACAGTTTTTACTCTGTGGCCTACCGTACATTATAGTACAAGTAAACATTGAAATGGTTTGTTCCATAGAGACGTTGGGAAGAGATATTATAAGGTAAACTGGTATCATACGGTTAAACAATCATCCGTAAGAGTTCAAATTAACAAATTCCATTTGCTCCTATGGGAGCTTCTTCAAATGTGAATAGTTTACAACCGTTTTTTGTCACAATTCTACTTTGAAAACTACAACTGCAACGGAATGCTTAATGAATATTTAGCCGGCGTCGCGGAGAAGCGAAGAAACGATGATCTAAAAAGGAAAGCAAGAGTTGTAAAATGGCGGATCTGGGTCCGTGGTGCTGTAACATGTTATTATCCTGCCTAGGCGTTGTCAGAGGTATGCGTGTGAGTGAGCGTGTGCGTGTGTGAGAACTTGCACGTGTTCAGGTCCTGCAGGCGATGGTCGAAACCTCCACAGATCTGTAAACATTCATGAGATCCGAGATCTAGTTGGCGACGAAGGTAATCTTGTTCGGATCGTTCAATTCCGGAGAGTCGGGTCTTGCAGATTATTCATTCCGCTCCACACGTTTACATTCACTTCATGGTGTAGTGTGATTACCCTGTGATAAATCAACATACACGTAGTCTACTGCAAACTGCTAGACGTCCTCGAACCCACCAACTTTTCATTCTGCAATTACTTTATTACAATTCTGAAGAAGGCTTAGGTTCGAATATCGCCAATCGCTATTCGATTTTACCAATTAACGGTAGTGTTTTGAGCCCACTTAAACTGTGGATCCACCTAACTGGGACAAGTTTAGGTCACTTGGCAGACACAACTTTCTTTGGACTAAGCAGCCGTGTTTACGAGTAGTTTGTGCGTGTACTTTGCTGTACTTACTTGTTTTTATTTGACGGGCTTCAGCAGAATATTCTACAACAGAATGGAATACGGCACTCTAAGCCGAAAATGCAACTTAATAGATTGCCTTGATCAGGTATTTACACCCTTTTCACTACTGTAAATTCACTCATAAAAATGCTGATACTCAATTCTATGATCAATCGTGCCCGACAATCTATCAAGCTCAGGGCACAGCCAATATTGGGCGTAATCGCGGGCCAGCGACGTCTTCTTCGTCGCATAATTTGCATGGTGAGATAGAGACCATTGTTTGTCTACCTAAGAAAAGAATTAGAGTTCGTGCGGGGAGGGGCGGGACGCGGCGCGGTGGGAAATTATAATTTGTAATGGTGGCTCGACTGGGCTGTCATTAGACCTGTGTCGCTGGCCTCGCAACAACACATCGGGGAAAAAAGTGATTCTTCGGCCAGACCGCAGGGACGACGGTGGAAACGAAGCGTCTGCTGCAGAGAGAGGTTCTCAGATATATAACTATACTGTAGACCAGACATACAGCAAGATGACTATACTACAGACCATGCATACAGTAAGATGACTATACTGTAGACAAGGCGTACAGCAAGATGACTATATTATAGACCAAGTATAAAGCAGGATGACTACTATAGACCAGAATTCAACATAAGGATCAGTTGCTATTAAATTACAATTCACATGTAAAATCGTAATAAAGAAAGTTGTTCTGCATAACTGGATCTTTGAAAGTGGTCAAAGTTAACAAAAATAACACTTGGGGACGAAGCCATAAAGGATATGTCATTTTCAGCTACTGCATCATTCATCCCTCCGCTAGATCATAAGCTTTAAGTCTTAGGCACTGTAGTTATCATAGATGAAGTATTTATTCCATCACATGTTAACTCATTACTACTACTTTACCAAAGCCAAAATCTTTAAAATGAAACATAATCCAGATTTCCTAAGTTCAATACTTCTTGGAAGCCTTGCTCCTATGTAAGCAATGTTCCTCCACAGTTTCTGTCGATGCAGCAATGATTCTATCAGGAAATCATAAAAGATTCTGAACCCAAAACTATTTATAATGCGAATGTCAGAGTTGTTCAGCTGTAAGTTGTTACTTACCGGAATTGAGGAAAATGCTATTGCAAAAATTCTCCAAAAGCTTAAAATACATATCGAACAAATGTTATCCACAA